GGGGGACTTTAATGCCCATCACCAGGAATGGTTGTTCCCATACCAAAAAACCGACCACGCTGGAAGAGAGGCGCGGGCATGTGCTCTATCGCTAGACCTCACCCAGCTGGTGAGTTGCGCTACCAGGGTACCGGACGTTGACGACCACACTGCCAATTGCCTGGATCTTCTGCTGACAACCGATCCAGACCGCTACCAAGTATCGGTCTCATCCCCACTAGGGACATCCGATCACTGTCTGGTGAAATCTGTATCTGTCTACTCCCCGCCCGATCTCAGTACGGGAAGTACTAGGAGGATGTGGCGATACAAGTCAGCAGATTGGGATGCGATGCGGCATTTCTTTGCATCTTATCCCTGGCGGCAGCTGTGCTTCTCTTCTGACGATCCGACGTGCTGCGCGTCTGCCGTCTCTGAGGTGATTATTCGGGCTATGGAATACTTTATTCCGTATTTCGAAGTCTCCTCCAGCGGCAAAGCTCGCCCTTGGTTTAACGCTGAGTGTGCTTCTGCGGAAACGCTAAAGCAATCTGCGTACCAGGCTTGGGCTGATGATGATGATGATGCTCGAGATCGCAAAGCACCGGAAACCCTCCGTCTCAAGAAAGCCTTTAATAAAGCCGCTAGATCCTGCAAAAAAGCGATATGGAAAGCTCGCTTCGGCCATATTAGTCGTATTGGGGTCAGGTTAGCTTCATACCCATCAGGGAGTAAAGCATTCTGGTCACTCGCTAAATCGGTCGAAGCGAATTTCTGCAGGTCATCCCTTCCGCCTTTAATGAGAGATGACGGATCGCTGGCTCATACCGCTGAAGAGAAAGCAAATCTTTTTGTTTCTCTTTTTGCTTCCAACTCCCGTCTTGACGCTACTTTGCAAACACCACCTACACTACCTCGATGTGACTCGGAAATGCCCGAAATCACTATCCGTCAAAAAGAGGTGTTGAAAGCTTTACGCAAATTAGACGTCAACAAAGCCAGTGGCCCTGACGGAGTCCCAGCGATTGTCCTGCGGAACTGTGCACCCGAGTTGTCTCCGGTGTTGACTCGCCTGTATCGCCTCTCTATGAGTTCTGGACAAGTCCCGAAATCCTGGAAGCTTGCAAATGTACAGCCTGTACCTAAGAAAGGTAGCCATGCCGACCCATCTAATTATCGACCTATCGCAATCACCTCCATACTCTGTAAGACTATGGAGCGTGTATTGAACAGCCGTCTCCTTGGATACCTCGAAGATAACGATCTCCTCAGTGATCGACAATATGGTTTTCGCCGTGGACGATCTACTGGGGATCTTCTTGCGTACGCCACACATTTATGGAGCGAGGCTGTCGAGAAACGCGGTGAATCGCTTGCCGTGTCTCTCGACATATCAAAGGCCTTTGATAGGGTATGGCATGATAGCCTGTTAAACAAGCTTCCAGCTTACGGAATTCCTGTTGGCTTTTGCACATGGATAGGCGATTTTCTGAAGGATAGGTCAATCCGTGTAGTTGTAGATGGTTACTCGTCTGCTCCTCATGGTATAAATGCCGGTGTACCTCAGGGATCTGTCCTCTCCGCCACTCTATTCTTGCTGCATATCAACGACCTGCTGCTGATGCCCGGTATCTTTGGGTACGCAGACGACAGCACAGTGGCGGTGAGTTATGTGCCAGACGCCCGAGACAACAGTGAAGAGATCCGGTGTAAGCGAGAGGCGATGGTCACCCGGTTGAACCTGAGTCTGAAAGCTGCTTCCGACTGGGGAGATGCTAACAGGGTCAGGTTTAATGCGGCTAAAACACAGGCGTGTCTTTTCTCATCAAAACGGAGTCCCCTACACCTTACTCCGACTTTCCGAGGTGTATCCGTGCCGATAAGGGACCACCTTGAGCTACTTGGTCTGGACTTATCATCCAACCTCAACTTTGGGTGATACATCGAGTGCTTGGCAAAAACTGCTGCCAGAAAACTAGGCATACTTTTCAAGGTCAGGCGGTACTTCACACCTGAACAGCTTTTAAATCTGTATAAAGCACAAGTTCGATCCTGTATGGAGTACTGCTGCCACCTTTGGGACGGCTCTGCCCAATACCAGTTAGCTGCCTTGGACTCGGTGGAGCGTAAAGCAAAGAGACTTATTAACAATAATCCTCTTGTGGTGTCGAAGCTCCAAAATCTCGATCATCGCAGAAAAGTAGCCTGCTTGTCGGTTTTCTATCGGATACATTTCGGGGAGTGTGCGCAGGAACTTTTCAATTTGGTTCCGCCCTCACCGTTCCTCCTTCGGTCGACTAGAAGGTCCGGAGCACTCCATTCTTATGTCGTTGATATTCCACCTATTCGCACTAAGCGCTTTGCCTCCTCCTTTCTGATGCGTACGGCAAAGGAATGGAATGCTCTACTTCCCTCTATCCTTCTATCTGTATTTCCCGAAAAGTACAATTTGGGGCTATTCAAGGCTAGAGTGAATAGGCATTTTTTAGGCAAACGCGTCCCATCGTCGGTCACATCGTCGCTTAACATCAGGTGAGATTGTGGCCAAGCGTGTGTCTATTATATATTAAAAAAAAAAAAAAAAAAAAGATCCCTTGTTAATACGCCATGAATATCGAATAAACGCACTTTTGTATAATGTATTCAGTTTCGTGGTACGGCCGCTTGTACATTTCTTTGGCCAAATTTAACATTTAGTGATGTATACGTTAGGCAACACTGTTCTCGATTCTGATCGATTTTGAAAACAAAGGGACGAAAATTATTATGACCTTAGCAATATTATAAAAATATTCTATAACTCTTTTGTTATAACGTTTAGTAACGTTTCGTTTTTTTTTTCAGTTTTATAGTATCTATTATCAGTAGCATCTGTAATTTCGATAATTTTTTCAGCACGTTGTCTCGAACGTCCGAATATGTGAGCAAATAATTACATACATATAGTACGAGTAATACAAAAAAAGCAAAGAATTAACAGTGCGCTGTCTTTACAAAAACCTGGAGTTGGTCACATGACCAACTACAGGAGTATGAGTTCGTTGCTTTCGAGGACGAAGGTGGTCTAGTTTATTCCACCTAAAATGCTATCTAAGTATGCAGAGTAGCAGAGTTAGAAATCCGAGAAATTAAACAAATCACGAAAATTTCACACGAGGCCGTCATTAAGTAAACCTCCTCTCATTAATAAGATTTTAACATATTTTGTCAGCAGTAATATTTTCTTTTATCTTGGCATTCATCAATTTGATCAATTACCACCAGAAAACCATCTAGTAAAATTAATTAAGGCAGTCGCAAGTTCATATACTAACGCGCGTATTTAAATTAACCGATAAGATCTTCTATTACAAAAATATGTTATATAATAAGCTCATTTTATTGGAAGGACCATAATTTCAATATTTGAAGTCGATTAAAAAATAAAGTCTTAATTTTTTTTAAGTATCAACATTTTTTAAAACAAGTAACATAAAGGACTTAATTATCTTATTCTAGTATTTTTCTACTATATTATTATTACGACTACTTGTAATCAACAAATACTTGAACAAAAATTATTATATTTACAAAAATTATTTATACACAGAAGACCGAAGAGTATAACCGGCCATTTTGCTTAGCGTTTGTGGACTATGAGAAGGCCTTTGATTCGATTGGGACCTGGGCGGCGGTATATCGAGGTGTAAAGGTACTCATATAAAAACACCACTATGTCAGTCCGATTACAGGATCAGAACTCTAATCCTATTCAACTGCAACGAGGCGTGAGACAGGGAGATGTGATATCTCCGAAATTGTTCACTGCTGCATTGGAGGATATTTTCAAGCTTCTGGACTGGAAAAGACTTGGCATCAATATCAACGGCCGGTATCTAACACACCTTCGATTTGCCGATGATATAGTTCTTATGGCTGAGACCTTGGGAGACCTGAACACAATGCACGAAGATCTCAGTAGTGTTTCTCAAAGAGTGGGTCTTAAGATGAACATGGACAAGACGAAGATCATGTCGAATGCCCATGTTGTACCAGCTCCAGTTAAAATTGGGAGCACTACACTGGAAGTTGTTGACCATTACGTATACCTGGGACAGACAGTCCAGTTAAGTAAGTCTAACTTTGAGAAAGAGATCTCTCGGCGAATCCAGCTCGGATGGGCAGAGTTCGGGAAACTACAAAAAATCTTCGCGTCCAAATTACCTCGATGTCTCAAGACGAAAGTCTTTGACCAGTGTGTGTTGTCGGTGATCACATATGGCTCAGAAACGTGGTCCCTCACTATGGACCTCATAAGAAGGCTCAAGGTCACTCAGCGGGCAATGGAGAGAGCTATGCTCGATATTTCCCTACGTGCTAGAATCAGAATCCGTAGGAGAACTAAGGTAATCGACATAGCTCGAAGAATTGGTCAGCTGAAGTGGCAGTGGGCGGCGCGCATAGCTAGGAGAACCGATGGCCGTTGGGGCGGAAAGGTTCTTCAATGGCGACCGCGCACCGGACGACGCTCAGTGGGTAGACCCCCACCAAGTGGACCGACGAACTAGTAAAGGTCTCGGGGGAAGCCGATGGATGCGGGCAGCGCAGGACCGATCGTTGTTGACATCCTTGGAGGAAGCCTATGCCCAGCAGTGGACGTCGTATGGCTAAATGATGATGATGACGATATAATAAAAGCTGTAAGATTAACACTTCCTGGTCAGTATGACCACCCAAAACAAATAATCTGTAAGCGTTTTAACTAGGTTATGTTATTGCCTATGAGAATTAGGAAATTACTCAGACTGCCCTGTCTAAATGATAATCCATGCCATCTTAAGACTCGATTTATCAAATGGACCACAGGCAGTCTGGCACCATTAATACGGTCGGGTCAAATTAATAAATTTATCAATTCGGCCGATGCTCTCTAGCATTATTAATGCGAACCGATTATCATAAATAATTACCAGTATTAATAATACCCGATTAATGAAATTGTCCGTAACGAATAAACTGTAAAAATATTTTTTTCTTTTCAGTCTAATAGTTGGCTGTCCAAAATGTAACGATAAAGGCAATGTATTCAAGTGTAATATAGAGAAAAACACTTGCTCGGATATGCCTTTTGACGCAGATGATCTGAAACGAGAATCATGTAAGGCTTTTAAATACTTTTACTAATCACCTTAATCCCTCGCTGTGATTGCTGCCAACTACTTTCCCCTCAGGGAACACCCTAACAAGTCCAACCATATAATCGTGAGACGGCTTCACAAGCTTTTGTCTACCCCATAGACGTTCCATTTTGTAACATCGTTTTCACCCACTCTCCGTGCTCGCACCAGGAAAGTCCTCGATGTCCTGACGACCCTATCACTCGCACCACATTACAGGTGAACCAGATCATTTTTAGAAACAGCAAAGCTCCGTGAAAGAGTTCGTCCAAGGAAGTAGTACTCTCACGTCAACTATTTTTGCCGCCAAACGGTAATGTGAGCATTACTACGTTTCGGTTTTGAAGGATAAGGGTGCTGGTGAAATGACAAGCACATTTGATTTGTCAACTTATGTCTTAGGGTAACAGGCGCAATGGCAGCACCCCTCAGATCTTTGCGATTTAAAGCTCTGAATGGCACTGCAACTACTACGGACAGGCGCGTAGCTTACCACATCCTGAGTCAAAGTCATCGCCTGGTTTGATGCTTTCAGGCGTTAGAGCCGTCAGTTCGCGATATTATCTGAATAGAAATCTAGTGTTTTACTGAACTGATAGGCATTGAAGCTCTCGAGATGTTTCGGTGTATATTCCGCTTCCTTAGCTTCCGCAGTACAGATTGTTCCTACGCTCTCGAGACACAGTTATAATTTTTTATAATTTTATTATTGCAAATAGATGACGCGCGTTGCGCGAGGGCTTTGTTTGAGACTTGTGACTGGTTTGTGAATTGGAATTTATATTTCAGTAGGGAAATTTCTTTGGTTGAGTTTAGGTGGGAGGGTGCAGAGTTACTGACTGCTCCAGTTTAGTTACTTATGGTGGTATTTGGTATGATCGCGTCAAGTCTATATCTCAGAAGAAACCACTCGTATATCATTGACAGCTGCGAAGATTCAGAAAAGTCAGTTGTTTATGGCGGCCATCTTGAATTTGAATTTGAATTTGAATTTGCCATTAAATCAATAAAATAATTTATTTCTGTGTAATATATTAGAATTAGAAAATTTTTGGTTCCGGTCGATCCTAACTACTTTTTACTGAAAGTCTCTGACTACTTTTGTTTGAGGGCGATGTACCGATCTCCGACGCTTGAGCGAGCAGCCTCTGTCCTACCTGATGCGGAGCACTAGTCCAAGATTTCCGGTTTTTCTTGTACTTACAACCCTTTCGACCTCTGTTCCCGTAAATCGTTATAAACGATCTATGTTCCTTCTGGGAGTACAATTACCTAAATGGCATACCTAGTATGTTGCGCGTTGAGCTGGCTGGAGGGCTGTGTGTAGACTTTCACTGTTTACTAGTTATAGTTTTTGTTTCAGGTTTTTTTTTATTAAGTTCCATTGGGTAATAGGGAGCAGGGTAACTGGTATAACCTAAAAGCAACCCACGAGTGGAGGGAGTGCTGCTTGTGACTTTAAATGTAGAAAAGATTTCGTCAGTTGGTAATTGTGCTTTTTGTTTCACTGGTTATTTTTAGTAAGGTTTATTTGGAAAGGCGACCAGGTAGTTGGTACGATCGCGTCAAGTCGTATCCCTAATTACTTCAGAAGAAACCACTCGTACAATATCATCAATAGTTGCGAAGTTTCGGTAAAGTCAGTTTTGTATAGCGGTCATCTTAGCGGGTCCTTCTATCCGTCTTTCGGTCCGTCTGACGCTTTCACCGGGCAGGCTCCTGCTTGATGCGGAGCACAATTCCAAGATATCCGATTTTATTCGTACTCACTTAACACTTTCGGCAACTATTCCTGTCAATTACTTTAAACGATTTCTATTTCTTCTGGGAGAACCTACATATCAGTGAATCGAGTTATCTACACAATAATATGTTATATACGGCCCGCGAAGTCTGTGTGTTAGATTTGTGACTGTTTGCTAGTTGTAGTTTTTGATTATTTTTTTTATAATACTACGTGACGGGACACGCAGGACGCGCCTGTCCCTAACAGTTGCAGTGCCACTCAGAGCTTTAAATCACAAAGATCTCTCGGTCAGTGATCGGCTCTGACACTGCGCCCGACACACTGGGATAAAAGTTGACAAGTCCCATGTGCCTATAAAGCATCTGCAGCCTTACCCTTCGAAACCTATGCGCAGTAATGTTCACATTAGTACTTCCTGTGACGATCTCTTTCACAGGGAGCTCTACTGCTACTAAAAAATTCTGCTTGTTTCAGAAATGGTCGGGTTTCATTGGGTCAAGTCTTATTTTTAAATATATTTTATATGGCGGCCATCTTGGGTTCACCATATTGGAAATTTTTTGGTCCCGATAGAACCTGACCAGGGTCCTTTAGACATATTTACCCATTTCTGACACTTTGGCTGGGCTGTATATCCCAGAGACCAGGTCGACATCCGAGTCGACGACTCGGACGTCGATGTTGCGCCGGGCCGCCAAGATGGCCCGCGAGGGCTGTGTGTGAAGTTTGTGACTTTAAATGTAGAAAATACTTCGTCAGTTGATATTTGTCTTTTTGTTTCGTACTGCTTAGCTATTTCTGCCACCAAGCAGTAATGGCAGCATTACTGTGTTCCGGTTTTGAAGCGCAAGGGTGCTGGTGAAATTACAGGCACATGGGACATATCAACTTATGTCTTAGGGTGACGGGCGCAGTGGCAGTGCCCCTCAGATCTTTGCGATTTAAATCTCTGAGGACACTGCAATTGTTATGGACAGGCGTGTAGCTTACCATCAGGCGCACGACTAGTTCGTCCCGTCACTCGATATAATAAAAAAAAACCTCGATTCGTTCTAAGAGAACAAGGTCTTGGATGTTGGAAAATGTACGGCGGCCATATTGGAAAAATACGAAATCAAAATTTTAACCACAGATTCGTATTATGGGGCAATAAATACGACGAAGTGCCATTGCAGCGCGATCGGTGCATTATTTTTCGAGCCGCTTCATTTTAGTTTGACGAACGTACCGATAGTGGCCAGGTAGCTGGGGTCCTTCCTGATGCAGTCGATTTTTCGAAGGTTTCGGAGTTTTCTGGTACTCACCGAACCCATCCACCACGACTCCCATACATCATTTTTTTCTAGACCTAGCGAAGGCTTTTGATACAGTTTACATCCCTGTGCTGTTACAGAAGCTTGAATCGCTTGGTATAAGGGGCATACAGCTTAAATTACTCGAAAACTACCTGGAGGACCGATCCCAATGTGTTAAAATAGGTGACATTCACAGTTCTGATCTGAAGTGCACTTCATTTGGAATTCCTCAAGGAAGTATTTTAGGACCAACACTTTTTCTGATTTACATTAATGACCTTTGTAACCTAGATTTACAAGGTGGAAAGATCATATCCTATGCTGATGATACTATTCTACTCTTTTCTGCAAATTCTGACATGGAGGTATACGACTATGCACAGCGTGGATTCAATACTGTAAATAACTGGCTCCAACATCATTTGCTAACACTGAATACGGATAAAACTTGTTTTATGCAATTCCATATGCGGAAATCAAAGTCATTTATATCTAACCCTAAACTATATGCTCACCATTGTTTTGAACCTACTAACAACCTGTGTAAATGTCCAGACATTGCTATTACTAACAAGATAAAGTATTTAGGTGTTATATTAGATGATAACCTATCATATAAACACCATATCGAAGCACTAAGCGCCCGACTCCGTAAGTTAATGTTTGTGTTTATAAAACTACGCGTTTCTGCTGATTTTAAAATAATCAGGCAAGTTTATTATGCATTATGCCAATCATTAATTACTTACTGCATTACATCATGGGGTGGTATAGCTAAAACTACTTTACTAATCATTGAAAGACCCCAGCGAGCTGTCCTAAAGGTTTCTACCTACCGCCCTTTCCGTTACCCCACTGACCTTCTGTATAAGTCATGTAAAGTATTAACTGTAAGGCAATTATTTATTAAGTCCACAGTCTCAAACAGCACGTATTGCTCCCATATATTCCTGAAAACACTAATAAAAGACGAAAAGATATTGTCTGCCCCAAAATTATATCATCAAAACATACTTTTATTTCAAGATTGTTTGTGTTTCTTGGACCATTTTTGTAGAATAAATTAAACGCCAAATATTCCATTTATAATTTCTGTTGCTTCAAGGTAAAGAAAATTCTCCAAGAAGCTCTTCAAAATATGTCCTATGAGGATACAGAGAATTTATTTATTATCGTAAAATAAGTTTTGTCTTGTATAAGTGTAAATTTTTTTCTTGACTGGCAATTTATTGTTTAATTGTTTAATTTTATTTCATAAGATTCTCCTAAAAAGTATTTATAATATTAATAGTATCCACGTTTTATAATTAGTAGTACTTTTTACCTGAAATACAGGAATTTCCTAGTTCAGGTACATGTGCTATTTTTACATTAAATCGCATAAGTAGTCTTTAGTTTTCTCTGTACATTATGTTACTGAATAAACAATTTTATTTATTTATTTATTTTATAGTTTCAAATTTAAAAAGAAATAAATTCTAGACTGTCTAGACAGTATCATTTTGACCCACCTCGACTCCTTCTAGGAGAACAATGTCAATGACTCTATCAGTCTCTCAGTCAGACAGTCTGGCCTAGCGTTTAGTGTTTTTTTTACATTCATTGCATTTCGTTACTGGGAATGGTAGAAGTCGTTAAAAATGTTTGCAATTATTATTTTTTGAAAATAAATAGCTAAAGGTGGCTCCCCGCGGCCTGTGATATCACGGACCGCGTCGTGCCGCACCGATTTATACGGATGAGCTCTCGTCAATATATGCTCTCGCCGACACAGGCGACACTCTTCCCACGGCGCACTGGCGCGAGTTCGCGTGGTGCGGGCCGTGGGAAGCCAGCATAACACAATGTCCTTAACTTCGCATTTTTTTTAATTTAAAAAAATTGTCTGAATTACTAACATGAAACATTTGGTGTCTTACTTCGTCTGTCACCCTCCTCCCTGTTGATACCGCTATACGTTTAGAATATCAAGTTCTTCGGAGCTCAATGATTTAGTTTGTCTAAAATCTAAACCTATAAAACTGACTTGTTTTTTTTGCAGTCGAAGGCGGGGAGTCCGTAGATTTTTGGCTAGGTGCGACTGTACGGGTGGGATCTGACTTTGTTTTGGTAAGCACTTTAATTTATAATGTAGAATAATAGTCTCTTGTGAGACTATTAATGGAATAGTTTCACAAGAGACTATTGGGTCTGGATGCGGGTGAGAGATCTAGGAGTCGGCTGCCACTTTTTATAATTAAATTTTTGTGAAACTTATATTTATTGTTATTACCAGTAACCTAGTCTTTAAGCTATATTTGTAAGTTTACTAACAATACTGGATCTTAAAAAAATGTGTTGTTTGAATAAATCATTATAAAAAAGAGTTCCGACCATGATAACCTTCAAAATAATATTACAAATATGTTTTTTGCTTCTCCATACACATTTTTTTTTCATAAATTGTTTACAATTTTCTTTTTTATTGTTAATTATTTACCATACAAAACAACACACAATAATGCTTGTAGTCGCATTTTAAACCACTAAGGTTCGTCATAATGCGAACTGTATCCACGCAATATGTTTGATTTGCTAACAAAATAAGCATTATAAAATTTTAAAATTACATGAATGCAATAAACTATTCTAATATGTTCATTTTTATCTTTTTCACGTTGCTTCTTTTTCACAGGCCTGTGCTCCTCGTTACACTCATAAATCCGGCGACCCTTTAAAGACTAGCGGTGAGTTAATACCGAGCCGACACATTTATCAAAATATGCTATTCTATTTCAATTGAAATCAGGTCTTAATTTCTAAGCTCTAAGACGACCTCGGTACATCGCGGCGCAATTATCTCTGCGGTATTGAGAGCTCGGTAGAGGATACCGCGGCGGGAGACGGAATCCACCGGCATGCACCGGGATCCAGCTTTCCAGCATTCGGGGAGTTCCAGCGGCTGGCAATGTGCGCTAGCGGAAATAAAATCATCTTGGATGCTCTCCTTTCAATCCGCCGGTTTCCGCTTGCCATTACCGTAGCAGTAATAATAATAATAACAATTTATGTGCGTCTCGTTTTCATCACAAATGCAGAATGTCGTGCTGCTTGATACGGCACTGGGGATTTCAGTATGACTCGTTCCCGTTCGCGTGAACCACAATTGTCAAAAGACGACGAAGTCTTTTGACAATTGCGGCTAGAAGTCAGCAAATTGATGAATTTCAATATAAAATCAAAACGTCGCAACTTGCAATAATAGATATTGAACTTAATAGCAGTAGAGCTCCTTGTGAAAGAGGTCGTCCAGGGTAGTACTGCCACGTTACCTATTTCTGCCACCAAGCAGTAATGTCAACATTACTGTGTTCCGGTTTTTAAGGGCAATGGTGCTGGTGAAAGTACAGGCACATGGGACTTGTCAACTTACGTCTCTGAGTGGAGGGCGCAGTGGCAGTGCCCCAGATCTTTGCGATTTAAAACTCTGTGTGGCACTGAAACTGTTATAGATAGGCGAGTAGCTTCAAGTCAAGAATTGTCACATTTTTTAAATTAGAAACTACGACCAATCGTTATCAAGATTTCATAGTGTTTAAAATTATGATAGTGTGAGTTTAGTAATCGAGGCTTAAGACCCTTCCAAGTATCGGAGCGAGACAGTACAAATATCACCTTCCACACTTGCTAAAATTGAGTTGACGTTCTTGACACGGCAAAATGTACATGTCGTATCGAGTTCTTAGGTTTTCGCGATTGTTATACATAGTTATGTCATGTCATTCCTATGTACATGTCGTCTCAAATATCCCGACGCGGGGATCGCTGCGTGACATTAGGTCGTGTCATTTGTCCGCGTGACAAAAACCGTTCGCAAAAACCGTACACACGTGGGATTTTGTCACGAGTCACGAGTATCTGTTACGGTCACAAAAGTTGAAATGTCACAAATGTGGATGCACGCTAATGTTTCTTACCAGAGGCAGGCATGATTGTAGATATATTTTACAGGGGGAACGTTCGGCCGCTGCTTCATGTTAAACCTTAAGAACGAGTCCACCGAGTTTGTGAAGGTATCATCTGTCACTTTTGAGGAGAAAAGGAAATACGCCAACCTGTTGTACCACGCGGGAAAAGACGACAATATCTCAATTGGTAAGAAATAACAATGAATAAGTCATTAACATTTCGTGACACAAAGCAAGCAATCAACAAAAAATAGCTATTCTTTACTCATAGCAATGTTACCCTGTGCTTTATGGACTCCGGTATTCGATGTCAGAATTACACAAATAACAAAAAGGTCTGATTAAATGTCGTTTGAAAACACGTAAAAATAATGATTGCCATTACATTTTTTTGTTACAGCCTGTGAATGCGGCCTATTGTTTAATAATTTCAATAAATACAATGTCTTGGAATCGTTAAACAAAATATATTAATTAATTACGGTTCCCATTTTCTTTTGTTTGTCCTCTCGGTTATATTATTTTACAACGTATATAATACATTTCATATCTTTTACGTATCTATAATTATAATAAGATATACCGCGTAGAGATAAATTTGTATGAAACGAGGGTTTTGAACGGGTTTTCTGTTTTTGATACTTTAGATTTGCAAAATAAAAAGCGGGTGTCTGGTGAAAAGGCTGATGCTAACACAACCACGTGTGTTCTTTCGCTTCCTACATGGAAATGGCAACAATTATGACACGCACGGTTCAACTGAATTTTTTTTTTGTATGTTACGTGATACGTGACTACTCATTTGTGAACTAATTTTGATGATTCTTTTTTGTTGGAAAGGAGATACCTCCGTATTGGTCACATTTAAATTTGAAGAAAATGTTCCACCTCCAAGGGTGGCAAACTAGGGGATGAATCCGGTTTCGCGTATTAACCGATTTTAATAAAACTTAGCAAATAGAAGTAACTCCACGAACTTTTGATGTCGGTTTCTTTTTATATAGAAGTTGTGTTCATTTTAATCACAACGAAGGACTATTTTCTAATTTTGCATGATACACTATTTTATAATCCCTGCTGCAAAAAGAGGGAAGTTATAAGTCTGAAAGCTTTGTTGTGTACCTGTAATGATTGTATGTAGCAAAGTAACTTCCGAACGGATGGAACGATTACAAAGCGGTTTCTTTTATTATTTAAAGATTAATTTAATCGGTATCGTTGTTATCTACGTTTGATGAACACCTGTTCAGGTGTTTAAAGATCGTCAGGTCTTCTTCCAGTTAGTGTAGGTATCCCAGTCATAAAATGAATATTTTTATTTCCTAATGACTGATCGACTCGATAAGTCTGCAGAGTTTATTTTTATTTATTTACTTCTCCACCGATATACAAATCTATACTTATTCTAAAGGACTTACCTTAGGAAGACAACCCTCTTTCCAATTACATATATCTTGATACCTCCAATGGACTCTACGCCAACTTAATTTTTGGAGTTGTTCTGTTTTAATTTTGTTTCTTTATTTTTTATTTTCACAAAAAAATTTCATTTTTTCCTTTTTTTTTAAATTTTGTTTTTTGTTTCATTGGTGTTTCACGAAATTCATAAATAAATACGGCTGTTTATAAAAATAACAGAAAATGACCAAAAAATTAAGTTGGCGTAGTGTTCATTGGAGGTATCGATTATTCTGTTGTAGTTAATTATTTTCAATAATTAAGTTACATTAAGTACTAACTAATTTTCTAATCTAAAACTGTCTGCTAAATAATATTACTATCTGTAGCCGCCAGACCCCTAGACTCAAGTAGAAATGTAAAGGATTTCGTCAAGCTCGTAAAATTAAAAACGATTTAAGTTGACTGTAATATATTGGCAATAGGTCACTGGTTTACAGGAGTCGTGCCATTAATCGGTAAATAGTGGTATTTTATTATGAAAGTACAATTCAAAAGTGAACGGCCTTTTTGACATTTGTTAGTTCGTAGAAAAGTTAGTTAAATATGTGGTACGGGATATTATAACATGTTTGTGGTGTTAGTTGATTGGTTCAAAATAGAACCCCCGGTCTACGTAATGTGACGAGCGTTTAGTTACTACTACGAAAGTTATATTAAATTTTATTACAAAAATTATCAAGAACCATGGTTGATCCATGGATCAGCACGTTTGCACGGACTACATCCGGTTCTCTGTCCTTACAGAGAACTGCACTAGCTTTCTAGTGCATTAGGTAAGCCGCCCCGGACGCACGTACAGCACCCTCCCTATTTTCCAGATAGGTACCGGTGCTGTAGGCACGCTCATTTCCCTCGCGCTCCGCACGACTAACGGTTGCCACCGTTGAGCCGCCGACTCTAAGTCAACTAACAAATCTCCTCATTGGTGGCGGAGTTGTAAGGGAAATAGACAGTAGTACATATAACAAATAGTACAGAGCACGTTAACTGTGGCTAAGGTCCGGCGAATGACGTATTTGAGGGCTGCATGATTTTTAATTTTAATTAAATTTTTTATTCTCCTTGTCATTACAGAAGAAGAAATGGATTCTTTTGGATGGAGCGTTCACATTGCAGATGAGGGCAAAGTTATAGTTGGTGGACCCGCAATGGCTAATGGTACGTCTCTATTTTGCTCGGTGTCTTATTTTATGGAAAGTAAAGTAGTAAAGAGTACTATACTTTTCAAATATGTTTAATGTCATATGTCTTAACTTTTCAGGCCGAGCTATGTTTTATAAGACGCTCGACAATCCCGCACTGATCAAAATAACGCTAAAGGACTCTCAGTTTAATTTTGGTAAGCTGAATTATTGTAAGATTCTGAATCCACACCCAGGCCCGCAGCGCCCATTGCGCGATGACACGCTAAACTGGCACGCTCTTCGATTTTTCGGTGTCGTTACAATACAAAATAACCGATATTAAGTGAAGAAATAGATTTCTCACAGATGGCGCTACGGCAAAAAAGTATTTAAAAACCAAAAATAAAGAGCGGCAACAAGTACATAGAAAACTTCGTAAGCTCCGCTATTTCGTTCCGATTCCGTTTTCCGTTTTCGTTTCGTTCGGAAGACGTTGGTTCGAATCCAGCTGGATTGAATGAATTTTTTCTTAGGGATCTTTGTATTAATAACATACTAATGGAGTAATTTCACAAAAATATATGAATATCATGGTGGTCCAATATAGTGTCATTCATTAAACATTTTTTTTAAATTTAAAAATTATAATCGATATTAGCTTATATTTGCGGCTCCATCTACCATCACCAGCCACACCTCAAGTTCACATAAACGGTACTAGATAGTAATAGTAGCCTTGCCGCTAGATGGCGTTGCTTTGTAAGTAGTATCGGTGACGAATATGTTACTAATTAATATCGATCGACGAATAGTGACCATAACAATTGTAAAATGACGACACGGCTTAGTTAAGAGAAAGGGTTGATTTAATTGTCTATGTAAAAGGTGCACTGTCTTTAGTTTATGATTATTTTTCAGTTGGTTTTTTTTAAACAAACCGTTACCCTGCTGGACTGCATCTCAATTAACTCACTCATATAATACTTATTATCCAGTGTTAACACATTAATGGCTCGTTCTAACTCGGTGCTAACACCATCTACCGGAGACTTGCTGAACTATTTATATTTTATAGTTTTACTTTTCAATAAATCAGTTAAAACTACATTTCTTTTCTTTTTTTCCAACACGAAATTGTATACATTTATCCTTTTTAAGTCTAACCTACCTACTGCAATCCCTTTAACGGGTTTATACGTAGGTGGGTACAGTCACCGCACAGTATTATAAGCGCATTCCTTTTGAAAAACGAAAATAAACATTAAACTAAAAAAGAAATAATGTTAAACAAGAGACACTGTAGACTGTTACTACTACTAAATCATAATATTTTAAATTTTTATTACCTTAATTAATTTTTGTATGTATTAACAACAATAACCAATAATATTAGTACATGTCAAGTTCTTTCATTAAACAGTACTAGAGTATTGTTTGATGAAAAATGCCTTCAACCTGTTTTTACATATTAAAATTTTCTGTATAAGGTATTTAGGTAATGTGTTCTGCGTATCCGGGAGCATGTAACCCCTTGTTCTGTCTATATACATTTTTATATTTCGGCAAATTGTAAGTCGGTAAATACGATAAACTACGCAAATTAGAAGGTCTCCTTTTTTTGACATAAACAGCGATTTTAATTGGCTCTATTCATAGTGTCCTTAACTCTTTTATAATGTTCGTTTCTTTTTCACAGGTTACAGTATTACGTCAGGACGCTTCAAAGCTGATAATAATGCTATATACGCAATAAGTAGTCCGTACGGAACTGATGGAATAGGAGTGGTTAGTACAGATGTTTATTGACTTGATATTTTATTTCCCTGCTGCCTATGCTTTTGCTACTGCACAGATGTAAAGCCGGGTATTCATTAGCGAGCTGTAACTGTAACTGACAGACGCAGTTACAAAGACCCAGTGTGTACGCGTTCCACTTGCGTGGCAAGCTCGCGAACCATGTACACACTATGATTTTTAGTAACAAAACATGCAACGGGTAACCGGTGTAAATGGGTAACGGGTAACTGTACAGTTCACTAGTGAGTACCCAGCTTAAGCTACATTAGTTCAAACATTAGACCCGCAGTGTCATTTATTTTGGTTGTCATTTTTTTTATATATTTATTTTACAGAAGTCTGCCTCTTGGCAAACTGGCAACAGTTTGTTGGCGAGCACGCTCTTAGACAATTATAGATCTACTTAATGATTCACTAAGTACCTAGCAGTGAGAAGTTACTTCTTATGTCGGTCAGACTTACTTAGGAAATAAAACAACAATAACAGTTACAAAAATATATTTAAAACATCAAGTTCTTCTTTACAGCAACAAAATATTTTTTTTCAAACTCTCTCTTCTTTTTTTTTCATATCGGAATTTTTTATGTTTATTGCATTGACTTACAAATAAATGGACGATGGGTCTAATACAAAAACCACGAAAAAAATGTCCCAAGTCAACCTATTCGAAATTTAAATTGTTATGTCATCGCAGTATCGCGCTGTCCGTAGAACAAATGAAGACTAAAACGGAGTGTCGCGCTCTGTATACGATTTTAGCGCCTTACAAGTGCGGACACTTTTTAGCGCGGACCCGACGTCCATATAATTGTAAGTCAATGGTTTATTGCATGTATATTATTTCGTGCAAAAAGTTCCGACATCGTCCGTTGCGGATTCGTATAATGTAACTGGTCGTAAATGGGGCAATACTTGCAATAAAGCTTCCTGTGAAAATGTTCGTCCAGGGATGTACTGCCACCTTACCTACTTCTGCCGCCAAACAGTAATGTGAGCATTACTGCGTGCCGGTTTTGTAGGGTGAGGGTGCTGGTGAAATTACATTTTCAACGGACTGACAGACGAGTACACCACTCGCCTGTAATGGGACTTGTCAACTTATGTCTCAGGTGGTGAAAATGTATTGTAGATTTGGTAATATTGTTATTATACTAATAATTTAAAATGTTAGAATCACTTACTATTTTTTACTGATTCTAGACATTTCTAGACTGTTCTAGACATTTTCTAGAACAGCGTCTGTGAATTTCGACGTCGAACAATAAAATATGTCAATATCTTTCGAAATGTCATTCTATCTCATCATGATAATATCTAATTTTGTTTTTAACTAAAACAATTTTCCGACTGCATCAATGCTATAATTATTAAAACAAAGATTCGAACCTTTCGATTAGGCCGGACTCGAACCGACGTCTCCTAGTAAACCGTGGCAGGCGCTATGCCAATTAAGACACGGAACGAATTTTTATATGTGCTTGTTGTCGGATCGTTGTTTTTCGTTTTTTAAACGATCTTTGTATCAATAATTATAGCAAATAGTGGAGTAATTTAAAAAGAAAATAATATTATGATGCTGGAACATCCTGACATTCAATAAAAACTTAATTGCAGGTAATGTTCTTCGACAGTAAAGGAAAACCAATTCGCAATTTTAAGAGTATAAAACATAACAAGGTAGGAGCTTTATTCGGAGCGGCATTATGTAGTGCCAAGTTAGAAGCCACCCGTGACGCTCTCCTGGTGGGTGCACCGGTTTCCACGGTTGACAGATCTGGATCTTACGACGTCGGTGCTGTTTATGTGTATACTTTCAGAATACAGAATGAAAGTAGTATATCTGTAAGTATTACAATTTGCTTGACACTTTTGGAAGTCTAGAAAATTGCTTTATTCGACATGCAAAATAATTATAACATTTTTTATAAAAAAACCGACTTAAAAAGTTTGTATCTTCGCTTTCGCTGTATTGGTTACGGCGATCTCCTCAACGATAACTAAAACGCAAATGGCAGTCCTTGTCCAAACGAATCATATGAGCCCATCATCATAATAGAATAGAACAGAATAGAATAGACATTTATTGCAACGCCACAATACATAGATTAGACTAGGCGTAAGCTTGGCTTCCACCCCTATGTTGTGGATATTCCAAAGATTCACACGAAGCGTTACGCTTCCACATTTATATGGCGAACGGCTATGGAGTGGAATTCCCTGCCTGCAGACTAATTCCCTGAACGTTATAACTTGGACCTTTTCAAGACGAGAGTGAATAGGCATTATTTAGTTGTGCATGCTCCATCGTCGACCTCATCGTCACTTTCTATCAGGTGAGATGGAAAAAAAAAGATATAAAAAAATATTGATAACAGAGACAAGCAAAATAAAATTAAAAAATGAATAAACAAAACAAAAAAATACTATAAAACAAAAAAGTACATAAATTAACACAAAACTAACAAGAAACAAAATATACAGAGTATAAATTTTGTACTGTCATGTGTGCGGTTGTGGCGTACGCAAAAGGACTTCATTCAGCTTATGTCATAGTCATAATTCACTGTGGCGCTGGTTTTCAATGAGCCCTGGAGTCGAGATGAGCAACGAACGTGTGTGTCGCGAAATAAAAGAACTTAAAATACAAAGTAACCGCTATACACTGTTCGTCCTTCGAGGAGTTCGTCTCATCTGTATGCCATTTCCATCAGCAGATCAGCTCTAGGTTACCATAGCAAAATTATATTTTCATTGAAGTTACATATGTACCAAATGAATTGAAATCAGTTGAGAGTCTGACACACACACACACACACACACACTCACACATACTTACACAAACTAACATATAGGTTAATTTATTTTTAGTCTATAAAGTTAAAAGTAAATGTATTAACTTACATTTTTGGTAGTTGTAACACCAGTTTAGAGATTAAAGTAGTTTCTTTCTTATTGTTTAAATAACATAAGAGCAATGTATGCGTATTAATATTATAGAAGAGCTGTGTTTCCTGACACAGGCCCTATCAAGACTTAAAGAAAACATTAGTTTCTGGATTATGTCATGTAAAATGAACAAATAAACCATTTTATTTGTTTATTACATGAAATGGCTTTGGTTGTCAGTGAAAGTGTCGAATCGATTATTTCGGAAAATGCCATTTGTCATCAATTCCGACGATGTTTTCCTTTACAGTATTTGTTATTATATTGTTATTTGTGTATGTATTTGTTGACTGAAGAAAAAGGTTTACGATCACTGCTTCTTTGTTTACATTTTTTGTAATTCTGAAGAAAACGAAGTGTGCGATCTAATCCGCTGTTCCATAAAAAATAATCAGAGCAAGATGCATAGGTGTTGGTGAACATTGTGGCTTTTTTTGTAAAAGCAAGAAATGAACAAAAATGTATCAACGCCATCTAGCGGCGTGTGGCAGAACATTATGTTCCGACAAAAAATGTTTTTTGTATTCGCGTTTAAAACGCATTTTATGTAACTTCATACCACATTTCGCTGTTAATAAAACCATTTGACTGGTCAACGTTCTTCTGTATTCCTAGCACGAATGGACTATATGCCCACATATTTCTGTTATCATTTTCAGAAGATACTAGAAGCAAGCGAAAGGAGAGTACTGAAGGGCTACAAAAATGGCGGCTACTTCGGCAGCGCAATTGCCAGTGTAGGGGATTTGACCGGTGACAATTTTGATGGTACGTACGAGTCTTTTAATAGCTTCCTTCATCACACTAACTCAAATCAAAAGATGATGCGTAATCCTGCCAGTATTATAGTAGAAACTGAGCCATGCGCAAGAAAATCATAAATTTAGAACAGATATTTCGCAAAAAATTCTAACCTAGAAATATCCTGCCCTGTATCGGCAAAATACATACAAAAAACCATACAGTCGAATTAAGAACCTCCTCCTTTTATGAAGTCGGTTAAAAACGAAAATATTATAAGCATTTTTATAATTCCCGGGAGATATAGTCTTATTAAAACGTATAAAATTTCATGTACCTTAAATTATACCAGAAATCGCGATCGCAGCACCATACGAAAACGAAGGTCGCGGAGTAGTTTATCTGTACTCTGGCGGTGAGCTACTGAAGGAACTGACGGAAGTACCCTGGCTTCAGAGGCTCGAGGGAGATACTCCGGATGAGTACTTTGGCCTCAGTCTCTCTCCGTTACAGGACTATGACGAAAATGGATGCAATGGTGAGTTATGCAAAAATAAGAGTTTTAAGTACTTACGAGTCGATACTATCTCAGCTCGAATGAAAATTTTGACCTACTAGCCTTAGAATAATAACGCATAGAATGATAGTTTCATATCAAACGAACTGTCACAAGTGAGGCAAAAATCAAATTCATGTAGGCTAGTTTTAGTAGTAGGTTCATTTTCGGTTTTAGTGAATATTTATATAAAAATACAAGTTGAAACGCGTTACTTCCTTGTGGAATGTGATGTTAGTATCTATTTTATGTTTGTCTGACGTATTTTTACACTCTTTCGTAATTTTTAGCTAAAATTCTTGATCTGTTCGCGGTGCAAGTTGACCTTGAGCACTGAAGGCCCGCCCGCTCGTGTAGGCCCTTTTGGCGCGCTTCAATTTGCCTCACTTAGCGTGTGCGGATTAGGTTTCTATGCGTTATTATTCTAAACTACTAGCACTGTTCTTTTTGCTTAGGCCGAACGACAGGGACACTGGCTTTATTTCAGAATTTATTTTTTTACAAACGAAATTACAGCCATTTCAAAAATGTATATCGTTATGCTATAGGTGTTCTGTTTAATTCAGTTGATGTTCAAGAAAACATTAGTGTATGTAAAGTACGCATTGAACACAGCTGTTTTCTTGTGGTTTTTTTCTATCTTGTAATTTTTTAGGAATAGTAATTTCACACTGTATCAGTAATCAGTGTATATTCTCAATTTTACTACATATTTCTCCAAAGTGATTGAATCGACACTTTCACTGTTATGCGAAATCAACCAACACCATTTGAGTTTGTATAGACTCTTAAGAATTTTAATTATATCTTTACCAATTATGAATTGATTTACAGAACTTGCAATTGGTTCACCTGGTAATAACAGGGTAACCCTTCTAAGGTGTATGGCGTCAGTCGCGATCGAAATTGAAGCCGAAATTCCTGATTTGACGGTACTTTATATATTATCTATTAACTAAAAATAGCTTTTACGAGTAGTTTCCCACGTCAGAGATGTAAAGAGTATCTGAATGACTAATCCATGATGCTGTGTATATGCTCTATTCTACTCTTGTTACCTTAGAGTATGGAAAAAAATGTTACGCACATTTGGTTGACACCTCATTTGATTTGTCTGTTTGAATTAATGTCTGATAATATTTTGACTAGTGCCACTACCACGAGTTTACGGTTTTGGTATTCGCTAGCGACCGCATAGGATATTTGACAATGATATATCGTCGGGTATAATGCGTAACTAGCATTCGATTATGAATCTCCATTTCGAATCAAATGCGCGTAAATGTCGTGGCAACCAAATTAGCGTGATTTACGGGAATCTATTATTATCAGTCGGTAGACGACATAAATAAATACTTACTGTGCAAAAATGGAAGTCGTAGCCATTGAAATAACATAGTAATAACGTTAAATCCCTCTCCTGTGAAATTTGGTTTGGAGCAGATACGCGCTTTTTACCAATACTACATATGCGGATTTGCACTGTAATATAGTACGTATATTGCATAAATTGCACACGTAAACACATGGTAGGTGATCTATCAACAAAATCGACGCGTTACCACCTTAAGTAGTATTTGCGCGTAAGCAATGGTGGTCAGTAGAGGTCACCTTTGCTTTTTTTTTGTTTTATCAATCAATGGCGTTTTGAGATCTGATTAGATCATATTTTCATTATAAATAAAAGGTTTTCACAAAAAGCAGCCTACCACATCGACAACAACGACGAAAATCGTCATTTCAGTTTTATTTTAAGAGTAATATAAAACTCATTAAAGTTTTATTTTTCCACAGGCGCAAACACAAGAGGTGCTTACAAAGAACACTTCTTTTATGTTCAAAACCTGCCTTAAAGTGATTCGATCAGAAAAACCCAATATTATAGAAAGCAGTGAGTACTTATTTCTTTTTTAATACACTTACTGCAAGAATAGCTAGTAGCTGCTGTAGTCACGAAAAATAATATCACCCACCTGTAGAACGTAACATGTAACTTTTGGAGTTACTTATTGTACGTGATTATGAATGAAATGATAGGCGTAAAGACGCTAGATAGTAATCGATTTATTTTAAATTTTTTTTTTAATTTAAAATTTGTTAACCAATATGTATTTAATCTGTTTTTTTTTCGTGGGCAAATCCTCCTAGGATAGCTCTCCGCCGCGGGAGCAGCTTGTATGTAGCGGGGAGGTACTTGTACCGATAAAAACCCCAACATAGCTTCTCAAGTGCTCTAGTAGGAGGGATCCAGGATCGACTTTGCGCACCGGAACCCCCCAGCACCTAAGAGGAGCTACGTCCTCCCCCTCCCCTCCTCACTACGAAGCGGGCCACACCGCTCCGTCGTCCTCCTCGCGCCTGTCAAACTTATTCGATCGCCCGCAGCCGCGAATGGATCGGCCCTCTTCCGATCACGTTCAGCGACCTCCTTCTGGAGCATCACCGCTTCACAAAAGGAGACCACTGCCTATATATATTTAATCTAATTTGAGATCGCTCGAGCTTCACTGTCTATTGAATACGTAGTCATCGTCATTCTATTTAAGAGCCAGACTGTTGTCGGTTTAGCCTCCTCCACTCCTCACGATTCATAAACCAGCTCCTCGACCTTTTTGTAGCTGCTCACTTCGATCTTCTTCTTTATTTATTCACTATACGCCATTCTTGGTGTTCCTCTCTTTCTTTTCCCTTTTATCTTTCCCAGAACTATCAGTGTCACAAATTCGTCATTACGTAACAAACAAAGGGGGAAAATGTTTTAATGAATGAAAAACGGAGTCAGTTGTAATAATAGATAGCACAATTCCTCAATTTGTAGAAATAATGCCGAAAAAATAGTACCAATAATAAATTAAGGTTAGGTCTAGTCGTGGTTTAGTCGGTCTATCACTACGTTAAGAAAGTGACAAGTTGTTTCATGAGGCCTTCGAAACTGTGTTTTATTGATAAATGGGTACGCCGAGATCGTATAAACAAAGAATTTTACGTACGTGTGCCAACCAAGGCCGCGCTTTTGGTATTGTTGGGAAAACAGCATTAAATATGTAAAATAATATGTAAATATGTAAATGGTATACAAGTGTGACTTTAGTATACGTATAACTTGCGTTAACGGTGAAGTAAAACATTGTGATTAAACTTACCGGCCGTAGGAGCTTCTTGTGAAAGAGTTTATCCAGGGAAGTACTGTCATCATATCTATTTCTGCCGCTAAGCAGTAATGTGAGCATTACTATATTTCGATTTGTGTTGGTGCTGGTAAAATTACAGACACATGGGACTTGTCAAATTATGTCCCAGGGTGACGGGCGCAATGACGGTGCCCCATAGGTCGTACGATTTAAAACTCTTGTGGCGCTACAACTGCTATGAACACAGGTGTTGCTTACCACCAGATGCACAAGTTCTTCGTCCCTATACTTGATATCATAAAACAAAAGGTTAATTACTCTTTCGAAAAATATTTTATCTTGTTTTCAGCTATTTTAGTCAATGTTACGTTAAATCATCCTCATGTTAGAATGAGAAACGAATCCGTCGACACTGCAATATACACTTTTGATGTTAATCTGAGAACTCGACCATCTGAAGACAAATACTGCAACAATATTTTTGTTTCTGTTCCTTCTGTAAGTAGTATCATTAACATTACAAGGTTCCAAAAAAGACGTTTGGAATTCTAAGCAAAACGTCTCATGCTGCCGAGCATGATATGTTTTGCTTAGCAATATTTCAGAGCCAGTGACCTCATATCTTTGTCTCTTCACCTCTAAGTTAATTTGCGATTGACCGCGATCAAGTAAATACATGAATTTCGTAAAGCATAAAGTTTCATGAGCATAGGTGTGGTACTGTAGATTTGACTATAGGTACTACCCTTATTGACTAAGTGAATCTAATGATTAATTGATTACACTGAAGGTAGAGATCCGAGTTTAGTGACCCCGACCAAGCATTATCGGCAGTAACATCCTGACACCGTTGATTGCTTTGTTTAAATACTCTGTTGTACATTTTGCCTGATACCAGCGCTTTGTCGTGGAACGGGAGAATACTGTCAGTAATATTTAAATTTACTTTTTTTAACCTTGCATCTAAATAATTATTAATTATAAGTTTCTTCCCACGGTATGATTTCTTTTTGTTTTCCCAATATTTCGGAACTGAAACACGCTCCATGATCACGGGTTGTCTGGTCAGTGGCAGACAGACATATCTGTCTACCCTCTTTCGTTGTGTGGTTTGTCGGAAAGCAGTCAGTGACGCCACAAGAAATCAAGATTAAGGTCGTCGTCGATAGCGAAAGAGTTGGCAGATATGTCTATTTTAAAGGCGTCATCTACAATTAGCCAGTCAACCCATGACCATAAAGATATTAAAACAAATCATACCGTCATAAGGAACCAGTAGCAGTAGAGCTCCTTATGAAAGAGTTCGTCCAGGGTAGTACTGCCACCTTCCCAATTTCTGCCACCAAGCACGACTTGTTCGTCCCGTCATTTGATGTTATAAAAAAAATCTGTGATTAATGATTCCATTTAGTATAAATATGAAAGTCTTAAAAATCTATTAGGATCTCATTTGTGCTTTAGGCACTGTAGAAGTATGATCAAAATTTACTTTAAAATACAACGTAATTTTACTTCAGGAAGGGGATTACGATAAACCAATAGAATTCCACATATCGGCCAAGCTGTTGCAAGACCCTTTTAACAGAACGACGTTCAATCCAAGACTAGTGGTTTTGGATAAGAAAAAGAGTCGGTCGCAAGTCAATGTCAGCAAAATGTTCAATTATGCATCTGCGCTGAACTATACTGTTTTTACTAGTTTAAGGTAAGTATTTTCAAAAACATACGGAAGGTGTATCTATTCTTGTGACAAGACTCTCCTGGACCTAACCTATTTTTTCCGCAAAGAAGTCCTGTTGTTTTAGGAAGGTTGCTGCTGTTTATTGAAGGATTGAGAGAAACAACTTAAGCACAGGAGACTACAGATCTCATGTTTCAAGGCCAGCAACGCATCAGCAATATATGGAAAATCCATAATGTCGGAATTTTTTTAGGCTACGGTTACCACTTTTCATTAAGTGGATCGTTAGACTTTTTGCCGGTGTGAATGCCATGAAAAACTAAGCTTAGATAATGAAATTCGCTCATGGTTTTCTATATTCTTCCGTTCGTACTATTCGTACCGCAATAGGTGTCCCGCAAGCATCTTCGTTGTCTAACCTGGCTTACTCTATCCTCCTAAATGACCTGCCTGATGCTATAGAGCAGGCAGAAATTTTATGTATGCAGATGATGTAGCAGCAGTTATTACTGAACCGAGTCTAGACCGTTAGAACGGCAGTTCAACTCTGTTGCATATAACCTGACAGGCTGGTTTCGGAGCAACGGATTGATACTAAATCTTACAAAGACGCAATTCATGAGTTTCGACCTTTCTGGTAGGCCCCGCCGACCACTTATACTCAGCGTAGACGGTGTGCGTATAGAGCAAGTGCAGATGGTATCTTTCCTTGGTTTCCAAGTAGATCAAGCATTGACTTAAGAGCAACACATTGACCATCAATGTGAAAACTTGCGAAAGCATGCTTTGCTCTAAGTCGTCTCTCTGCGACACTTACAAAAGCTAGAGTTCGTGCATGCTATTTTGCCTCCGTACAATCGGTACTAGAATATGGCATAGAATTTTGGGGAAATGCGGTGGATTGGGAGCGTGTTTTCCGGCTACAGAGACGTGCAATACGGGCCGTGGTGCGTATTTCTAATGATGAGTGCATACGGTCGTACTTTACGTCTTTAAGGATACTGACGCTTCCCTGTCTGCTGATACTCCAGATAGCCATGTGTGCACGTAATCACTTGTATCAGTTCGCACAGAGATGCGACAATGAGCGGTACACACTGCGATACGAAAGCCGCCTCCGCGGCGATCTTCGCCGACTGGAGGAGGCGACTCGGACCATTCATGCAATGAGCCATCGTGTATACAATCACCTACCTGACGATGTCACTAGCGCCCCGAGCACGTGTTCCTTTCACTTTAGGTTTAAAATATGGCTAATCCAGCGCTCTTTTTTAATTTATCGGATTTTTTTTATTTTAAATAATATTATTATATTGTATGTAGGTTACTATTTTTCTTAAAGATCAGTTTATAATGCAATTCAATATATTTACTTAACATTCTCATTGACATTTAAGCTACTAAATTAACATATAATGGAAATTAGGAATGTGGGTTAGCGTAGCGAGAGGCACATTTCAATGAGAAACGAGGATTATATTCATAAATAAAACTTTACTACGTGTATTCAATTTGAAAGTTTTGTCCAAACAACAGTACAACAACCTTCTATTATTTATACAATTCTAAATATAACCTGAACCAGCCTGCTACAGTACTTACGTAATGAGGTAATTTATTTTTGTTCGCATTTCGCAGCCAGGATTATCTAATTGGATCAACGGACAAAGAAACGGTAAATATCACAGTAACAAACAATGGCAACACGGCGTACAAGCCAAGCTTGCGCGTGCATCTTTCAGGAGTCGGTGTTTATGAAAAATCAAGTACATGTCAGGCACCTGACGGCCATATGATGGTGTGCTCACTGCCCGATGTGATAAAGAGGGGTGGAAATTGGGTAAGAGAAGATTTCATTAACACGTCATAATATCACCCACAGTTTTGCAAATAAACCGTAATGTTAGAAGTCAGACAGCTGCTGTTATCTATCCTAAAGAGACTATTGAACATAGTCCTGGCCTAAAGCGATTATATTCCCATCTGGTCCCCAAAACTGATCCACCGCCAATTTAAAATTGCAACTGATCCCCTCTATATTTTATATTTAAAATTTATAGAAAAAGAAGTTTTGAAGTCAAATATTCATTTATTGAGGAATTATGATCAAATGTTACAATTATCACAGACAATATTTTTTTTGTGACAGGTCATTAATATTGGTATATTGCTAATCACAAACATAAATCAGTCTTGAGCAATATTTAAAATCTAGTTTAATGTTATGATTATCACATAAAATGATATACATTTTCTTCATGAGATAGATACATTTTCTTCATGAGATAGATACATTTTCCTGTTGGCTGTACCACAGTACCTACCAAAAATAAACTTGGAAGTACCAGGTTATCAGGTGGGAATAAAATATTAATATTTATTCTTGATCCACTGCATTGGGGATCCGATGGGAATAGAAAATAATTTAAAATAAAACGGATACCCCAGGGGATCGGTTTTGGGTGATCATATGGAAATAAGCCCCTAAAGCAAATTGACACACACTTTTTATTCTAATTCAAATTTTAAATTCAGAAATGTATTTACACTCAACAAATTTCAACTACAATTTAACGACTATGTAATTCTAGACGATGAAATTCATTATCGAACCTTATAAAATTAACTCTTACTATTGGCTCCTACAGTATAGATATCAATAATGTTTCAAGTCGCCTTTATTACATCTGTGTTGTTTACAAATATGCTTAAATACTTACAAAAACTTTCAACAAAGTCATTAAAACTAGCACTAATAATATTATTTTGATAACACACAAATAAATTACACACGTAAACAATTTTGTAAGAAAAAATATATTCAGCTTGTATATAATCCAGGTTATATCTTCTAAATTCTACCAACATATAACCAGGTCCAACCATGTGACTCAATGTAGTATGTTCATATTATATTGTGATTTTTGGGAATAGCTTTTAATTTTTTTATTCTTAGTGTCTCCAGATGAATTCAGTTTAGCTAACTTATATGTTTTTCAGACTGTAGACATAACATTAAACGTGACGATGCTCACTACCGATAGCAAATCAATAACATTGGAAGTTGAGTTGTTCAACCATGGCGTCAAAGTCAGCAACAGTACCTACATGATTATCAATTTGAGACATGACTCCATCATAAAACTCACAGGGTAAATTAATAGCTGACTTGGAAAGAGCTTTACGTAAAAATTCTACATCTATATTGCTGATTAGGGATGCCGCGGATGTGGGCTATGATAACATTTACAGATGCGGATGCGGATGCGAATGTTTTCAAATCTGCAAATGCGGATGTGTGAAAAAATAGGGTTTCTTTTTTCAAAACATTTATTATGAAAAAAACTTGATCCACAACTGCCGATCAAGTCTGTTGATCATTGAATTAGAAAAGACGTAGATGGAATAGTACATTTATTAATATTGAAAGTTTCTGATGGGCAAATTACACTTTTAAATAACAATTTTGCAGCTTTTAGCGACTAGGTAGTCTATTTTTAAGTAGAACGTAAAACCCGCGCTACTAAAAAGCTGTTCACTTTGGGTTATCTTGAGTGAAAAAGTTTCAAATAACACTTTTTAACGGTAACAGCATCGTTTATACTTGAAATTACTAATGAAAATGAATAAGCTGTGACGAAAATCAATTTAAATTCAAACAATATGTTCCCAACTACCATGCGCTTACTCAAATCAACGTAAACTCAATAACTATTTATTTGTTTAGAAAACAAACAGGTCGTTGCCTATCACTCGTTGCCGAATCTTATCCTGCAAAATATTCGCATCCGCAAAAACTCACTTAATTTTGGTGAAATTACATGCACATGAGACTTGTCAACTTATGTCTCAGGGTGACGGGCTTAGTGGCAGTGCCCCTGCGGTCATTACTGTTTAAAGCTCTGAGTGGCACTGTTATGAACAGGTGTGTCGCTTGCCACCAGGCCCACGAGTTGTTCGGCCCGTCACTTGATATTATGAAAACTTTACATCGATTTTTGCGGCTATTGGATGCAGATATTTAAAAATATGCGCATCCGCATTTGCAGACGTTTGCGGCATCCCTATTATTGATATCATTTATATTTATGAAACCTTCTTCATTTCTTAAATATGGATAATGCAGTAGCATTCGTCTTTTTTTCAAATAATCAACAGTGTTTCTTCGTATTTCTATTTATTCTCCAATTTTGTTACATTCCATTTCAGATCAGAGTCAAATTTTAGTATAGATAAAGAACAATTCATCAAATCTGGAAAGTCCAACATACAGCACGATTATGCGGTAAACCTTTTTATAAATTTAGCATTTACGACTTTTGTATATAAGGATTATCTGTAGTCAATGGTTTCTTATAGTGGTATGATTTTTTATGCTTCTCCCGATATTTCAGTGTGGTATACAATAGATATTTTTTATGACAACTCTAAATAATTATATCGTATTGGCAATTTCCGAATCATGCCACGTTTAATTTCTCTCTTTAACTTTTAAAATTTCTCACTCTAGTTGAATACAGTGGCTTCCAATTAAACGACTTACTACTCTGACGACCTTAAAATCGCAGCAAACCTTGCCAGACTCTATGTCAACTATGCCACGGAACGAACCAACGGACCTCACGAATTTTTCTATGTATTTGTGGCAGATCCTTGCTTTTTTGGTTTTTAATGACTTTTTGCCTAAGCGCCATCTGTGAGAAAACTATGAAAGTTTTTTCTTTCTCAGGGAGGTACCTTTACAGGTGTCCGCCGCTGACTAGAGTCTTCACCTTAATAATTGTAATCAAGTTTTATTCAATGCGTTGTTTCACCACCATAATATTAAATTTTTGTGTTGGCTGGTTCGTTCCGTGGCTTAGTTGACATAGCGTCTGGCACCGTTTGCTGGGAGACGTGTTGGTTCGAATCCAACCCGATCGAAATGATTTTTTTCTAAGTGATTGATCTTTGTTTAATAATTATAACAAACTAGTGGAGTAACTTCACAAAATATAACTGAATGTCATGGTTGTGAAACATCCTGGCATCCAATAAAATCTTAACTTATACTTTAAAATCGGCAGATTCTCTAAATGCATTTTGTTTACATGGTTTCTTCGCACTGTTACTTGGCGAAGCTTGCAAATTTCAGTCTCGCCATTTTGAAAACCAAAACCACCGCGTTACCTTTATTATGGCGCATTTACACCAAGCCGTCAGGCGTTCTTCGTTTGCCCGTCGAAGGCAGCAAGCTGCCTGGTGTAAACAGGGAGATGTCTGACGACGGCAGTTTGCAGCCGAAACCGGACGAAGCGACTAGGTACGTCGCCTTCGGCAAGGCGAAGTAGTCTGCCGAAGGTCGGCAGACGGCCCGGTGTAAATGCGCCATTATTTGATAGACCTTGCTTTTATACCGATAGAACCGCTAAGAATATCGTTGTAATTGAGATACTAATACGATATTGTTTTCAGATTATAAACTTAGGTTCCAACAGACAGAACTTAATATGTGTGGTCACTCTACAACCGGACACAATAACTTTGGTTAGTACCAAGTTAAAGCAGTAACAGTGCCTGTAATTGTTGTATTTCTTAATAATTAGTTTTATCATAAGTAAATCTCCACAGGTGTCTATTGGAGATCAAGAATGTATCATAATGGTAGATACGGCAGAGTGCATAATAACATGGCTTCGGAAGAATGAGCAAATAATCGTAAATGTTGTTATAGATGTTCCCCCTAAATCACCATTAATAAGTAAGTGCCTTTGTGAAACATATTATTTTTAAATTATATTTTCATTAAAAACTTGTTACGAATAAACAGGTAGGTTTGCATAATACGAATATATTCCTTCTAGAAGTTGCTTTTTATTCGTATTTTACGTTTATCGATATTATTTATTATGAATATTGAAATGTTTTTTTTTTTTTCAGATAAAATCGTGGATGGCAAGAGTAACATAACTACAAGCCTCTCTCTTTATTATGATAATACAAAGAAATCTGTAAGGTAAGAATAATATATGGACCGGTCAAAGTCCATTGATTCATATGGACTCAAATGTGGAAAACAAGAATATTACACCGACAACATTTTACTCATAAAGACCATGGCCCACCAAAGTATAAAAACCCACGGCGTGCAGAAATGATATATTTCCGGATTAATAGAAAAATGGCAACAAATACAATGATGTATTGATTATAGAACAAGAAAAATGTATATTTGTATAAAAAATGTATGTTAGTGCAAAATATTTGTGTGTTTTGTATGTATTGTTGATCACCCAGGTAACCATTTCGGTTTAATCCGTCTTATTTCTACTACAACTAAATTTGTGTGATAATTTGGAATTTCGGATATAATCGATAGAGTTACAAGAATTGAAGAGGATGTGGGTTATAATATATTTTTCTGTATCTAATGGAGCAATAAACATTTTTGACGTAACTTCATCTATGCCATTCTTCCATGAGGGGTTCCATTTATTTTGACAGAATGTCTGACACGAACCTAATTAGGATTTTCACACAAATTTTAAATTAATATCAAATCTTTTTTGCCCCGTTACATCCGTCCATTTTCAGTATTTTTTTTTTCTCTTAAAATATACAATTGATATCAAGTAATTTAAATAAGGGTAGTTCTAATCACGATGGAAGTATTTTTACAAAATTCTGACTCATAATTTTTTTCTATTTTTTAGTTCGTAAACTGGCGTTGCATATTTGTAAAGACGTTCGTAATGTATTATTAAGAGGGACAGTAAAAAAAAACAAAAATATACGAATTATGGCGATTTAAAAAAAGTTATCAGTGGGGTGATAAAATAGTTGGGGATAGTGAAATATGAGTTTTTATAGGAAAAAATCTGATTATTGAAGTATATCTATTCAACAATTATTAAGATATATTTCCACAAAAAATTGTTAGATTAATTTAACCTTGGACATCGCAACCCAATAATTACAATTGTAGCTTTCACATCGCCCTCTTATCTATTGGCACAGTCAAGGCCATCAGCGGCCAACTGCAAAATGTTCTTCACAAAAAAAAGCATTGTAGACTATATTAGGGCCTCTGTGCACCACCTAACTTGCTTCCGGGTAAGTTTCCACTTGTGGGACAGTCGTAGGCTGTATCATCGCAGAGCATATTAATCTTGTAATGCTGTACAGTGTACACGTTGTATCCATAATAAATGCCTTGTGTTGTTGTCTGTGCCTACCTCGCCCCGCTTTATAGCACTACAATCTTTCCTGATCCCGATTTTAAATGTAACTCAATTTTGATAAAAATGTTAGTTGTTCCGTTCCGAGGGTTTTTCATAGCTCAATTAAGCATATTTTGTTACAGCTTAACTACATCCGTGACTCTAATAAGCATTGCGGTACCAACATGGATCATCATAGTTGCAGTTCTGGTCGCTCTTCTGGTTATTGTTGTACTAGCATGGGCTCTACATGAAGTAAGTTACTTTTCGATCTCTCTATCTCTCTCTTTTGGTTATATAATCCAAAAACATTTCAGCAAAAATCAGTTAGCAGGTCTTGATAGCGGTTCTCTTAAGGTACTCCCAGTAAGTTTGTATAAACCATATTTGACACTGGAAAGGCAAAACGCCTAACGTGCATTTGGAAAATATTACAGCAGGGCTAAAAAGGCCGCATTTCCAGGATAACTTGACAATTATTCATATTATGAATTTTCAAACACAACAAAAAACGCAATTCATCTTTTTTTTTAATAATATCAAGTGATGGAACGAACAAGTCGTGCGCCTGATGGTAAGCTACACGCCTCTCCATAACAGTTGCAGTGCCACTCAGAGCTTTAAATCGCAAAGATTTAAGGGGCACTGACACTGCGCCCGTCACCCCGAGACATAAGTTGACAAGTCTCATGTGCCTGTAATTTCACCAGCACCCGTATCCTTCAAAAACGAGAGACAGTAATGCTGACATTGCTGTTTGGCGGCAGAAATAGGTACGGTGGCAGTATTTCCCTGGACGAACTCTTACACAAGAAACTCTACTGCTGCTATAAAATGTAGCCTCATATATAGAAAAATATGGAGACCTCCACAGAACACTGTCAAATAGATAAATTGCGTTATATGAATTGATAGAAAGTCATAATATGAATTGTTAGATAGTCATAATATGAATTGACAATTAATCATATTATGATTCTGCCAATACGGTCTTTTTAGCCCTGCAGGAGAACGATTTAAAGTACTTTCTTTTTAGAAAATAAAATTATAACTCTGATTTTATTAAATTGTTATATGTAAAACTAGAAAGTTTCAGCTTTTCCTTGTAACGAATAAAATTGAAGTTACGATTTATTTTTCTTTAAAAAAAATACTTTAAATAGCTCTCATAACATTTTCCAAATGCATGTTAGACGTTTTACCTTTCCAGCGTCAATATAGTATGTCTTTTTTCTTCTTCTTCTTTTTGCTTACTGGCGCTACCCTTTAGATTTCGCCAGTATCGAGTTTTCCGCTTAGTAATTTTAAGGGCTTCTGTAGACTCTGCTATACAATGAGTATTGTGAGAGCACAATGTGATATAAAAAACTGTCTTTTTTAAAGACGGAGTAAAATGACATTTGCAGGGTTGCCAATTTTCATAAAATGTTAAATAGTCATGTAGTTGTTGTCGACAGTTTTATAGATAGATTGTGAAAGAAGGTAACATTTTGCCAAAAAGTCTGAATTGTCAATGTTACTACGTTCTAATGATTACTACTTGCGTTATAGCCTTTTTTATTCCTACTTGACCATTGGCCTACTAGTCTCGAAATAAATTTTTATTCATATACATTTTAATAATAACTGCCTCTGTGGCCGAACGGTTACCATGCCGGACTGCCACGCAGAGGTCCCAGGTTCGATTCCCGGGCCGGGAGAAGTATTTGTATGGCCTACATTTATTTCTCTCGTGAGTTTGGGTGTAATTTGTAGTTGTCTATGTGTGTGTCCATGGCACCCGCGACACATTGTTTCCCTAGTGCGGGGCTATGTTGAGTGTGTGCGTTATTATTATTATTAATAAGGGCAGGCAGCGAATTTTATTATCTATATTGAATTAAAATGAAAAACTTTGAAATATGTCTCTGCTTTGAATTTTTAATAGATATAATTCTAAATGTAGTACATGTATGAACTTACAAAAATTGACAATCCAAATTAACTTGAGCCCAATAGCTAAACGAATAATTAATTGGTCGATGGTGATTCAAATGATACAAGTTCTGCTTTTTATTGCATAAGGTTAGCTAACATTCAGTCGATAGAATCACTAGTTGCTTGAAAGCGGGCAACACTTTTGCGCAATGAACTATCATTTTACTCCGTCTTCAAAAAAGACACAGTATAAGCATTGACTTACAATTATATGGACGTCGGGTCCGCGCTAAAAAGTGTCCGCACTTGTAAGGCGCTAAAATCGTATACAGAGCGCCAAACTCCGCTTTAGTCTTCATTTGTTCGACTGACAGCGCGATACTGCGATGACATTACAATTTAAATTACGAATAGGTTGACTTGGGACATTTTTGTCGTGGTTTTTGTATTAGACCCGTCGTTCATTTATTTGTAAGTCAATGAGTATAAGTAATTAATAGATTCAGGCGTTACTTTGCGGAAGTAAATTGTTAACCATGTTAATAAAAATGGAAGTAAATTAATTTGCTACCCCGCGAACCCAGTGAAGGTTAAATCGTGCAAAATAGCTGCGCTTGTGTTGAATATTTTTTCATGCAGTTAATTATCTCACCCTCTCTCCGCATAAAATTAATAAAATAAATAACATAAGCGCAACTACAGTCAAAAGCCACCACCAAAAATACACTCGACACTTGTTTCGCCTCTTCACGAGGCATCTTCAGGGGCTGTTGACTGCTCGACATTCGGTCGAAGAGACCATCGGCCTCTTTTTAACAAATTAATTTACTTCCATTTTTATTAGACAGACTTTATAGCTTTATCTTTAACAATCAAAATTAACTCAGAGTACTCACCATTCGAAAGAAACCTTATTAAAAATGTTAACCTCTGCGTGAGAGGCGATAGGTGAAACCACGGCTGTTGAAAATAAAATATAAGTACACACTCAACACACTCAACACACACTAGGGAAACCCAGTGTTGCGGGTGCCATGGACACACACATAGACAACCACAAATTACACCCAAACTCACGAGAGAAATAAATGTAGGCTATACAAATATTTCTCCCGGCCCGGGAATCGAACCTGGGACCTCTGCGTGGCAGCCCGGCATTGAAACCGTTCGGCCACAGAGGAGTTTAAGTATAAGAAAATAAAATATATATAAATACAGGAGTTCAGGAAGCGATCCTCGACACGTTGTTTAAAGAAATCTAGAGAAGGGAATCGACTGTAGGGGACATAAAAATATAAGTTAATTAATTAAACTTAAAAAAACACAGTATCCTAATACAAGTACAAAAATATATTATATGATTTCAGTGCGGTTGCTTGAGAAGAAAGAACAAAGAAGAATTAAAGAAACTAAAACAGGACATTAAAAGACAAACTACGGTAAAATATCGTGCTTAACATAAACCCTTTCTTATTTGTGATATTTTTGTTAATAACTTGTCTTTTTTAACACAGAGACGATCAATACGCCTGCGCGAGAGTATGATCGAAGTAATAGCCAATCAACAAGCGACAGATGACCAAAAACCGCTCGTTGGTCTCTCGGACGATAAAAAAACAGCGAGCTGTGAGGAACTCGACTTAAGACTAAATCTTTCTGTAAATGAGATAAATGAAGAAATCGCTAAACTTGAGGCGGAAAAGAATTGCAACGAAACAAACGCGTCAAACGATCAGTTAACAAAGCCCGGTGACGCTAAAAACAGGAAGGACGTTAAGCGGTTACTAGGCCCAAAAGTTATTTTTTGATTTGTTACTTAGACTTAAAGTTGACTTAGACTTTCTTGCTCATTCTTCTTAGGAGAATCTGCCCTACGAAAGAGCAGTAGAGTTTAATCAGTATGACGTTTTCAAGTGTAATTTACTTACCTATGAAAAAAAAGTTATTTCACTTTGACTCTAACTAATCATTATTTAATTTTTTTATGTATTCAATATGTGTTTTGAATAAATTATTCTTTTTTTTAATCATTTTTAAAAGATACTTTGATATTGTACTTAATATTGAATGCAACGAATATTATAATTTTTTACTACTATGATATTTGTTTATTTTTGTGAAATTACTCTACCGAGATTGTTATAATTATTCATACAAAGATCGGACTCAAAGGAAAAATCCTACGATCTGACAGAACAAACTATATCTGTCTTACGGATTTCTCTTCCTTTCTCTATGCTTTTGTTACTTATTCTTAATCGCTTCCTCAATGCTGAGGATCGTGACTCCACTTCATCCTGCCAACCGAACAGGTAGCTCCAGTTGTTCGGAGATCTGATCCGACCACCTTTTGGGACCCCTGCTTCTAGGTTTCTTTCCCTCCACCTTTCCTGTTACCATCAAACGCTCCAGGTTATCAGAATCTCTATGTGTCACGTGACCAAAATAGCGTATCGCACCTAAGCAAAAGCATTTGTTACAGATCATTCAAAGTTTTCTTTACACGCATGGAGAAATTCTTCAGGTCTGCCGATTCGATCTGTAGCTCAGTTGGTAGAGCGGTTAGCCTAGATTGGTAAAACAGACACAGATTCGAGTTAGATCAAAGGAGTTTTTCATTGTCCTCGATCTTTGTATTAATTGTTATCTTTGTATCTTTATACAGTTACGCAGGTCTTGCGTAATAATGATAGAAGCGCGCAGTCCACGTGAATTTTATTGTAGAAAGTGTAACAAAATGGAGAAAAGGTCAAGGATAATGATCAGTACAGAGTACTAAAAAGACCGACCTCAAAAGTACGTGGAATTACGTCTATTTGCTAAGTTTTATTGAAATATCCCCTAGTTAGCCACTATACAGGACTTGACACTGGAGATAATAAAAAGCCGTTCTCACTACTCAAAGTATATTGAGAGAAAAACGCCTTGAATTGGAGAAATAGCAAAATCAACCATTAAAGTAATGCTCCTAAATTAAAGTTAGGCGCTATTTATAAAAGTGAATCTTCATGCGTGAACAGTCACAATCATGAAAATCGGTTCACAAATACCGGAGTTAAGTCGGTTTAAAAGGAGAAGAAAGGCTGTAACAAAAATGATATAAAAACAGGCACAATACTATAAAAACACTCCCTACATAAATGGGCCTGTATTCGTTGAAATATATTTGCTACTTTATAAGCAGTTGCTATTTTTGCCGCACATCAATGATATGCTGTTTACTGACGTACTTACTAGTTATTACTTAAGGTAGGTTATTACTTGGTGTACACTCCGCTTGGTGCAGCAAGCGAACAGCTAGCTAGCTGCAGGCAGAGAACAAAAAAAGTTACGAGAACGGACACTCTCCGCCCCTCCCTAGCTTTAGATACCGCACCACGCCCCGCACATTGACGGTCACATTGACTGAACGACAACAAGGCTGTCGGCGAGCCGTTTTCGCCGGCGAGGCTTTGATATTCGAATGTAGTTTTCATTTATTCATTACGAAACGTGTACATAAATATATATCATCACCATCATTTTACGTTACTATTTATAATGGTCGTGAATTGTGCTGTGCACGGCTATTTATCTTCTTTAAACAGGATAAAAAGAGGAGTTTCTTAAGTAATATTATACCGATATAAATATCTAATAAGCATGTGTAATTATTAGGATTCTATTAATAGAATTATAGATAAGAGATTTGCGTTACAATTTTTGCTATATTTCCGCTCTAACAACGTAATAGTACGAGAAAGTAACGGGTAACCCTGCAACTTCACGCACACATTTGCGCGTGTGCAGATAGCGCCTTGCTGTATGTAGTAGCAGGTAAATAAGTTTCGACCGTTGTATGGAGTGTCCGAGGTCTGCTACAGGTGAAGACTGAAAATCAGCAATGCCAAGACTTTAACCTTTTTGTTCACATCACTGAATTATTTTTTCTATTCGTTTCTTAAGTATTGTGTTTCTTATGTTTTGTGGAGAAATAAATGCCTTTATTTTTTTTATTTTTTTTTATTTTAAAGAGAGAAAAATAAAATTATATCTGTATATTTATATGGTATGTAATGAATGCGGGACATAATATCGGTAAATAAGAAATTACTAACGAGAGTGTATTACAATATACTTTAATGAATGACGGGGTCTGTAACTTTTACCGCCCGTGCTACATACAATGTTTTCATCACATTTGCGAGGACATAGATACAATAATAATTTATTTCATAAATGAATAAATATCGCTTCACAACACAACATTTACGGATTCTGCAAATGGCGGTATCTTGTTTTTTTAAACAGATTGCCAGCTATCCTTCCATAGATAATACAACTTGAACCAAAATGTTATAAAAGGCACAGACGCATACAGCCACAATGTATTAGATATAAAATAATGTAATTTCCAAATTCAAATAATACTGCAGAATTTGAATTCACAAAACAAATTTAGTAAAATAGTATTTAAATTGCAAATGTTTAGTTTTTTTATACTTCAAGTTTAAGCAAAATGTACGTTCAGATTTTTCGAGCATAAAAACCTTTTGCTTAATCTTGACGTAAAAAATCCATAAGGCGATAATGTAATGAATAAGCCATTATGCCAGCGTGGGCATAATTTAGGACATTACGGTCGACTTTGCCTGCATGTCATGACACTGTTTACGAGCGAGTGTGATGAAAATTATATTACACCAAGGTTACAATTGGTAAACAGTAGAGGATATTAACAAAGCTGCGTCTCGGGGCATCGTGGTAAACTTATCCTTTGACGAAAGTAGCTGCGAAAAGGTACCGGAGCCTTCAATGCGAGCTTAAAGTTCAGCTTTTAAGTAGTATCGCACCCTACTTTACAACTACGTTCTTCCGCTCTAGGTTTTACTTTTACAATTGTTCGAGAAATTTCTTTAAAATTATGTTTTTTCAGAGGTTAACCGCCCGGGTTTAAATCTGGTTAAAACCCATTAATAATCGAAACCGAGGACAACAACTATCTACCATTAAATATTTATAAATCGAGTTTTGTTCAAATGTAATGATATTATTACAAAATGTTTATTGCTCGCTCACTTCGCGCATTTTGCCTTTTTATTGAAGTTTCTGTTCTAGTAGTAAGCATCGAGTACATAACCAGTATGTAAGTGACAGTCCACAGGATTGCAAGGTGGATATTGTGTCAGTTGCCTCTTTTTCATCTAAAAAAAAATTTCATACATCGAAATTCCTAATAACTATGGAATTAAACCAACTTCCGTATTATTTTACTCGTATAATAGTTTCGGCCCACGATTTTTGGCAGAATTGAGCTAAAACTTGGCATTTTGTGTAAAAACCACGGTAAAAACTCGGTTGTAACCCGGTCGGGTAGATTAGGTGTTAACCCACCTGCCCACCACTGCGTTTTTTATATAACGGAGTCCTCTATACAGATTATTATACAGAGTGTTAAGGCTATAAGGACACGGAGGAATAGAACTTTAAATGTTGTATGCAGGATTATATTGCTGCATGGAGACATTTTTATTTTATTTTTAAAAGTAACTAAGTAGTACTCCATTGAAAGACTTTTATTAAGTTGTTTGTCTAATCTGAAAACGAACCTACCAAATACGAAAGAAAATCACCAGTATTTTTATGATGCCTGTCGAAAGTGTCAATTACAAGGATTAATGTACGTATAAATGATTAGTAACATGGCATTTTAAAGGAACGTCGTTCAATTACACAATTTATTCAAAAACGAAACAAACTTGAAACTTTCAATGTATTACGGTTAAAAACGATAAATAACGCACACACTCGGCGGGGAAAGCACATATTTTTGTCAAAAATTTTACAATCTTGAAAACACTTCACAGCACTTCACAGCGGACAAAAAAACAATCAATATCAAAAATGTAAGTCAAAAGTACAAAAAACGAAACTAATTCCAAATGTAATTTTCATTACATAAAAAAAGTATATGAAAGAAGATCTGTCGCCAACAACGGTATTTGCAAATAATTCATCAAATGTGCAAATTATTATTTATTATCTTTCACCTAAATAAACTATGCAAGTAAATTGTTCCTTGAATGGGAATTAGTAAATAATCAAAATTGTCTATGACATGATAAAACCGATATTTTTGAAGTAAAAACATTGACAATAAACTACTTTAATATTCATTTATTTTAAGGCTCAATGTAAAATTTCATGGTGTTCCTTGTTACCTATGTTACTTCTAACTAATTAATTTTTATAATTGAACCTTTAGATCTGCATCATAAAAATACAGGTTGGTTTTTGTTAATATTTGATGGGTTGCGATTCTTAGACTAAGCAAGCAACTTGTAAAACAAGTTTTTGAATGCATTATTATTTATTTTAAAAAATAAAATAATGTCTATATGAACAATATGTAAAGTATAGGAAATGAAACTATTTTTCCGGATTTAAATCGCGTATATTTGTTTTTTTTTTCTCAAACAAACCGATGTTTCAGGCCCTTTACAGGTCCCATGGTCACGGTTGACTAAAGTGGTACAGTCTTCAACCAGTTATGTTTAACATTAATGCAAACCCTATTTTTTCACTATAGTTACGATAGTTATTAATTAAATACCTTATTTTTAATTTTACAAAGAAAACATTCCAATTTGCGCTACATTACGTTTTACAAATTATTTTATTGAATGAATTTTTATTAAGTTCTATTTATTATTAATTAATAATAGAAACTAGAATAAATTAAAACATATTAATTAGTACTGCAGTCTTATGCCTGTTTGGGATTTTTCATCAGAGAAAATACTGGATCTCAAACTGGTGGTACGGAGAAACCATCTTCCCTGTTGAAATTAGAATGTTTTTTAATTTCAATGGCCTCTTGCAGCGTCCTGGGTAGATAAAGGACTTCTTTTCAAGGACCTGGGGTTTGTCAAACTTCATTGAATGTGTAGGTTTATCCATGATATGCTCGCAGACTGCAGACTTGTTTACGCGACGGTGTTTGACATCAGCTATATGTTCTTTGACGCGGGTACAAATACTTCGCTTCGTTTGTCCAATATAAGAGAGACCGCACTCACAGTCAAGCTTGTAAACTCCTGCATCCTGTAAGGGGATGTTACATCTCACGGGTCTCAGGAACTGAGAAATCTTTCTCATGCTTGCATGCAGGGCTTGATAATGACAAATATACGCGATTTAAATCCGGAAAAATAGTTTCATTTTCTATGTGTAACAATCGCGAAAACCTAAGAACTCGAAACATGCAAAGTACTTTCCTTTCGTATTTATATGCGCTTTACGTTCATTATAACAATTATTTGGAGTTTTACTGTCTCCTCGGTACCTCTTTTTCGCAAATAAAAGCATGGGCAGAGTTGCAATTGACATCGTTGAATTTACCATCTAGGTAACTTACTGCTCCACAATATTCAGAGTCCAAGTAGTTGTCGGGTTCTCCGACAGACCACTTATTGTACCCAGCTTGGTCTAACGTCTCGTCTGTAATAACCAATTCAATAATTAGGTGTTATGGAAAAAGCTACTGCTAAACGAAGGATTATATAACGGAACGACACTCGTCTCTTGGAGTATAGGCTAGGCAATGGTGTGGATATATTTAATAATTATGTGTTGGAAGACGGAATGGAAGTCGGAATGGTTGGAAGAAACTATGGCTAGACAAAAACAACCGGAGATTATGTAACAGAATATGTGGAACGCCAAGTGTATCGACACACTTACCCCATTCCATAACTCTGCAGTTGAGCTCGCCGAAAAACTAAAGAGTAATAAGTACCAGGACCTCGGCTCCGATCACCTATATTCACCCTTTGGAGTTGAAACCCTTGGCCCAAATTTTATCAAAAACATGAATGGACTATCTGGCAAATCCAAAGGCAGCTACATTGTCCGCCGTATTAGCATAGCCAAATAAAGGGCGAACGCTACCAGCATCATGGTCACTTTGCCGCGGGGACCCAATTTTATACACATAATTTAATACTAGTTTTAGGTACCTTCGGACCCTGCCTGCGGACTTATTCCCCGAACACTATAACTTGGACCTTTTCAAGGCGAGAGTGAATAGGCATAACATAGGTGTGCATGCTACATCGTCGTCCTCATCATCACTTTCCATCAGGTGAGATGGCGGTAAACTACGCACTTATTTAAAAAAATGATTCTAGTAGATTATACCTTTTATAGCTTTTAGATTATACCTTTCCAATAGAATAAAAAATGTCCAGGACTCAGAAGCAGAAGAATATAAAGATTCCCTATTATCTTCACATTAGTGCCTGTCATCGTGGGCATATTTTCCCCAATAGTCATGTCATCCTTTGCCAGTTATGTGAATTATGGAGCCTGTTCATTGAACCCTAAACTATAAATATGTCAAAAAAAAAATTATTTAACAAACTCACTAAAAATAGTATGGAATTCTCTGGGACGTCCGCTATCAGTCCGTTCGGCCCGAAATCCGACAAAGAAGGAATGTAATGCTTTCCTTGACTTCTGAGCTACCTTGACCAAATCCCAAACCACCTTACGCTCAGCTTCAGAGTTAATCACTACTAGATGAGCTCCTTCTTGTTGACACTCGTTATATGCTTGGTCCCATATATAATATTGTTTTATTACTTTGTAGCAGCTGGCAATAGAAGAGAAATAATCGTAACCTGAAAATCCAAAAATACTGAAGTCATTAAGAAGTATTGAAGACGTCGACGTTTTCATATAATGTTAAAACAAATTTACAGTTTGAATATGGAAACTCGTGATTTTGATGGAGACAGAAGTTGTCACAATAAGTTAAAGCGATGCCACACGGGCGTAGCCGGTGCGTTGAGTCTTAGCAACCCTATGATTTTAACGCACCGAGTGCCACACAAGCAACGCAATGTCGTAAACTCGTAACGCCCACGGAAGAATAAACAAAGGAAGCGTCTTAAACCTCGATTACTATCACACCCGCTCGCTGGCGCTGTCGCCAAAACTCAATATTCATAATTTGAAACACTATGAAATCTTGATAACGATTGGTCGTAGTTTCTAATTAAAAAAAAAAAAACAAATTTTGAATTGTTAATATAATTTAAACTTTACCCTGTTGGCATATAGTTGAAAGTTCAATACCATAAATACCTATTACTGCAAATTACGACGTTTTGCTTTTATATTGAAATTTCTTTTTTAATTGAAATTTTAAAATTACAATCAAAGTGCTGCGATCTAGCGGTTAATAGCTGAACGACGACGAATTCGAGATGCTTACTTATTTCTCTGAAAAAGAAGCGACCATATTGGACCGGTATAAAGTTTGCTTTCGTTTTTATAACAAAAAGAAATGCGGTAAACAGAAAATAGGAAATAAAATAAAACATAATGATGATACGAAACACCACCATAGATAAAAGGATAATAATTACAAGCGCGACTATCATTTTTTACACTCCACAGTAACGAAATAAGGCATTCTCTACGAGGTTTCGCGCGAGATAATTGACATCACCGTAACGTACAAAGCGAAAATGGCCGACTAAGCTCAAATTTGCGGAACGCCGCAAACTGTTGGCGCACGTGTCACGTAAACTAAGCACTTCAACTGTATTATTGTTCTGTCATAACGCCGCTTACCTATGCAACGCAGAACCGCTTTATCTCTTGGTCCCTTCTCCGACGCGCATGCGTTCCGCCACCGCGTGCCGTTTCTACACAACATATTGCATGTATAGTTCTATTTTATATGTAGTGCAACGCAGCGTCATCGCTCAATTGTCGCACCGTCGCCGCGACACATCGTGTGGCATCGCTCTTAGGGGTTGTAAAGCAAATTGATCATCCCTTGGGAATAGGTCATATTACCTTGAGCGTACACGTTGCACTGATCATCGTAAGGAGCATCTTTGGCATCCACCTTGCAGACGAAGGGTAGTAATTCATAGCAAGAATAATCTTCGACTTCACCCTGGTAGCGATTCAACACGCTGCATCTGGACGAAGACTCTTCATGCCCTTAATTTTTTTAAATTTCACAAAATGTTCTAATAAAGGATGTTTTGATTCACTCATAGAAACACCGCGTTAAGAGATTTAGGTTGAATGATAAATGCCCTAAATATACCTTAAAATACTATCATATTAATACCTTATCGTCATTATCAGCAACCAGCATTACAAATACATAATCCGCGACGCTTACGATGCAATGCGCTCGATTCATTCAAATTCATTGCAAATTCGATTTTTCGACGTGCAGATTTCATCACGATGTTTTCCTTCAAAATCAGCAAGAGGTGTATAAATAAATATCTACAATTTTCAATTACAAAAACATAACTAAATAAATATGATTTCGTATAACCACTTTAAATGTAGGTTTTGGTACATATTAAACTGCATTGAAAGCACTTTTAAATGGATAAATATCAAGAACTTACATTCCTCCTCAGAAGAATCATATTCCTCTTCACCTTCAATCCACACAAGATTGCCTATATCAGGATATTCCTTGAGCATTCCATGAACCTGTGCTATATCTTCCGCTGATGTAGGTAGTATCAATGCAGAGCCTTCCACTCTACAAACAATTTCGCTGTCATATTTGTCGTTTTCTTCTATATGTAATTTATAATATGCCATTGTTTTTCTATTGTACACGTAGTCTCTATATTTGTGCGGATCTGAAGCTTCTGAAACTGAAGAAATGTTGTATTTTGGCATCAGAAAAGAAAATTATCTTTAAATCAAACCATAAATCAATGATAGTATCCACCAGTGTAGTATTCCATTAGTTCAGCATGTTGGTTCCTTCGAGCTCGGCGTTGGAACTTGTCATATTTCAACGGCAGAATTCAGAAAGTAGACATAAATGGAGTCACTTCTTTGAGTTCTCCGATAAAAATGGGTATTCCGCAGGGCTCAATTCTTGGACCTTTCTTATTTCTCATTTATATTAATGATCTACGATTCTTTGTGAAGGATCTTTACGAAATAGTATTGTATGCTGACGACACACCCTTATTTTTAAAACAGACAGACATGACGTTAACTATGACTATATTAACAATACCCTCTCAATGGTAGTTTACTGGTTTAATGCTATCAACTTCTTGCTTAATGCCAGGAAGACAAAGTGTGTTAAATTTGAATTACCTACTTAATGGGTCATTCCAGCGAAGATGACTCCGCGGGCCATAAAAATAAATTACACAATTTGCTTTTTAGAAATTTATAAATAAATGAGTTTTTACCGATATTGTACAATTATTATTATATTTTTTTCTCTTAACTAAAGCAGCCATAGTGCGGTCGTCTATGGTGAAGCATTTTTGCATATAATACTAACAACAATTTTCGAGGTTATTTGTGCGTTATTCTAGAAAAGTTATTACTGTCGAAAAAAATGCAATTACCGGATTGTAAAACAGTGATAAGTGATTGCATGGAAATAAATATGGTGAAGAGTTATTAAACTTGCAATAAATACTAATTTCAAGTACCACCTGTCGCGATGAAATTATAAAATATTTACTTACTAACGAAGGATTTCATATAAACAATGTAATTTATTTAATTCCGTGTATTCAATTGTAACTCGTCACAAAATGGTGTACCACTCGTCACAAAATGGTGTTCCACCCATCACATAATGGTGTCCCATCCGTCACAAAATGGTGTCCCACCCGTCAACCTTAATATTCGATTTATATATAATAGATTATGAAAATCTTGCTGAACAAAATATTAATTTTAAGACTTTCGTGGTTATTCACTGAATGATTATCACTAGTATCAGGTTTCTTACCACGGTATGACTTCTTTTTATCTTTATTATAATATTTTTTATTTATTATTTTTATAAAAAGAAGTCATACCGTGGTAAGAAACCTGATACTAGTGATAATCAAAATATTAATTGTTTGTCTTGATCTTGGTAGTGAAGCCATCAACTCAAACAGGCGAGTGTCATGAGATTTTCACCCGTTACATTTAAAAATGTCATAATTTTAAGTCAATAAATAATTGCGATTGAAATGCACATCATGCTTCATGATGTTTTCATTTTAAATACGGGTCAATCAAATTGTTAGTTCAAGTTTGCGGAAAAAACGAGTCAAAATCCCACAAACCCACCCGTCAATTTGGAACGACCCTAATTTAGAATCGACTAGTTCCATCATAGAAATAAATTGAGAAAAGTTAAATCTTGTCAATAAGCAGTCTTCTTGGGAGTGACCTTACATAGTAAACTTCAATGGTTTCCACATATACCTTCCCTGGCCAATAGATCTGAGCGTCTGACACGCAAGCAAGCAAGCTTCCCTCTTATGGGCTTCCCACTGACCTTTGCAACTGGATTTCGGATTTCTTGAATGAAAGTTCGATTCGAGTGGCCTTAGAAGGCTACTCTTCCAAACATATGGCGATAGAGGCCGCGGAGTTCCTCAGGGTTCCGTACTGTCCGCGACTCTCTTTCTGCATATCAATGATATGTTAATTCCGAGAGCCTTTGGGTATGTTGATGACAGCACAGTTGTGGACAGGTACTTGACCAATGCAAGGGTCAGTGGAGAAGAAATCCAGTTTTGTCGAGAGTCCATGGTTAGTCGTTTCAATTTGACACTTAAGGCAGTCACTGATTGGGGCCATGTCAATCTAGTCAAATTTAATGCTTCCACAACGCAAGCGTGTGTATTCACCACAAAACGGAGTCCCTTTCACCTGACTCCGACTTTTCGTGATGTATCCATACCGATAGCCGACCGTCAACAGCTACTTGGAATGGACATGTCGTCAAATCTGAACTTCGGTAAATACATTGAATCCATGGCCAAAAATGCAGTCAGGAAGCTTGACATCCTTCCCAAGGTGAGGCGTTACTTCACACCGAGACAGTTGCTTCAGCTGTACCAACCACAAGTCCAGTCGTGTATGGAGTACTGCTGCCACTTGTGGCTTATGGCTCTGCTAAATACCAACTGGCCACCTTGGATTTAATAGACAAGTGTGTCAAGACGCTTATAGGTAACTCGAAATTAGTAGAAGCGAACCTGCAGAGCCTTAAACACCGCCATAAAGTTGCCTGCTTATCGATATTCTGCAGGATATATCACGGAGAGTGTGCGATGGTATTGCATAATTTGATTCCGCCTTCCCCTTTCCATCATCGGGGGACTATACGTGGGCTGGGATTCCACCCCTATGTCGTGGATATTCCCAGGATTCACACGAAGCGCTTCGCTTTCACATTTATATGGCGAGCGGCTAGAGAGTGGAATTCCCTACTACTGCTATAACTTGGACCTTTTCAAAGTGAGAGTGAATAGGCATTATTTAGGTGTACATGCTACATCGTCGAAAAAAAAGATTAAGCTCTGCCACATAGGCAGTCTTCAGAATATGCAGCTTACCGATGTTGTACTACTATTATAATTTACTATATTATATAAGTATATTGCCCTACGGGATTCTCATGTGGGATGAGAATCACGACAAACCATATTTGTGTTGAAAAAACAGGCGATACGTTCTGTGTTCCTATAGGTTCTCGGGTTACTCTCAGAGAAAAGTTTAAAGGGACTGGTGTCATAACTGTGCATTTACTCAAATGTTTTGTATAAATATATATAATTTCATTAAGAACATACGTGTCCATAACATTTTCTGATCCAAGTCGAATTTCATGGTACTACGATTTTATTTCTTCCATGGGGAACTGTATACATTTTTATAATAAGATTCCGGGGCATATATTAAGATTATCATTACCTAAGTTGAAAACTTACATTAAAAGTATTTTAATTAAAAAGTCATATTACAAAATTGAAGACAATGTGTTAGATAAAAATATATGAAAAGACGACATGACTATAGATTCCACACAAATTTGATTCAAAGTGTTTTCCAAAACATGTAAGTTTATTTGAAGAGCAACCACTAGATTTTCTTGCTCGTTCTTCTCAGAAAAGTCAGCACAGGGAATGAGCAGTAGCTCAAAAAGCTTTTACTTTGACCTTACAATACTTACCCTACAATTTCAAATTCAACTCTATCCCACTTACAATATCTTAATCCAAAGTTCAAAGCGTAAACCCAGCAATCAATATTGTTAAAATCTACTTCTACAATTCAACAATTATTAAATTAAACATTGGCTTACCAACTAAAACAAGGAACAAAAAGCACAACCACTTCATTTTAAAGATCTCTGAAATTGAATACAAAAACCATTGACACGCCTTTACAGCGCAACTAAGTTAATCTGGAACAGTTCGGAACAATTATAATGTGTATACTTTAGTCAAGATAAATTGGTTTGTACAATACTGACGTCGTATCACACTTACATAGAAAACTTATACCTATATCTTGACCTCAGTGAACCAGAGTTGAGCGCACCGAGATAGGTGCCATTATAAAATACTAAGCGGAATATGTCGTAATATTTAGTCTTCCCTATTTTCATAGCTCTGCAAAAATTAAAATTTACCTCTCATTTTCGCCGCCGGGTTGCACGACGCGGCAATGCGTTAAAAAAGCTATACAATATAAACTTTATGCATTAATGATAATGATGTCCTGGAGATTCTTCGCTCCTCCATCCCTCCGGCGAGATGGCATCTGCTCGGCCTTGCCAAGCGTGCCGAAAAGCAGCGCCTTGCCACTGCAAATCTCTTCCTCATTGAAGTTTGACTTGCAGATCTGCACGAAGCTGACCTCGTCCATAGTGTCGATGGCATGTTGGCAGCAACTATGAGTTGCTGAGGACTATATAGCATAGTCAATTACGCGCAGTGTCTATTTGCCGCTCGGGTCGCGAATTATTATAATTTTTACTGTGTAGTGAAACCGAGCGTGCACCGTAATTGAAAATGAAAAATATTGAAAAGGTATACGGTCTATAGGTTAACGAACCGCCTAAATCGAAGAAACACAATGAAACGGTCAATGAAGGCCTTAACTATTATATTTACTCAAACAATACAAATACTTGACCAATCAGGCTTAGGCAACACAAAGGCGGCCGTGACTTTCAGTGTAGCAGGGTTCATATAACTCGTACATTACAAAAAATCACGTGCCTGAGACACTTCTACGGCCGCCTCTGTGTGGCCAGAGCATAAATAACAACTATTTCTACATTCTGTAATTAATCGAAATTTGGCGTTGCAAAATAACTTTCGGTGATAGACAGCTAGAAGTAATAAAACATGTAGACTCGTAGGTTAACACGTTTGCTGTCCATGAATCCACCTAAAGTCGCAAATTGGCTTCAACCATAAGTCCACACCACTTCACGCATACCTACGGAGTTGCAGCTACATATCATATCACTGTCAAATATTTTGTAGAAGTCCAGTATTTTTGTGAAATTGGGTTTAAAAAAAAGAAATGTTTTGGATATATCATATATAAAATGTGAGTAAAAGACAAAAGCAACACTATTTCACACATATTCCCGTGGATTTACTGGGTTAATTTCAACCTTTATATGTGAAACTGTGAACGTGTTAAGGGCACTCTTCGCTCAGCATTCGTTTTGGACGTCCTTAATTCGGTCGTAATAAGTTCGCCTTTGCCTTAACTTGCCCGCTTTCTAAATTTTGTTAATCTTCTTACAATCATCCTCTCCACATGTCTGTACCACCTAAGCATCTCTTTTACAATCTTTGTCACTGCATGTTCTTCCACATCGGAACGCCCTTTTATGACATTCTTCTGCAATTTGTCCACCAGAGTCACTCAAGGAATACTTCTTAAAGCTTTCATTTCTAGTACATTAATTCTACTCTCGTGCTTCTTCTATCATACTTAACAAAACAACCACGTCAATTAGCTATTCTCAAGCTAGAGAATTCAATCCGCACTACCTAGAACACCCAAACCAGAATCGATTTAGGAAAGGTCATGTCCCAAATTAGTCCTACCAGGAATCGACAGTGCAAACCGTTGGGCCAAGCCATACTAGGATATAACGAAAACGGACGGTAAGGTTGATGCCAGATATGATTGCGCACAACTAAAAGAAATCCTGAGTCAAAGTATTCATAATGTTAACTTGAATAAAAATGCTTTGAATTTGACTTTTAGTATGAATTAAGAAAGTAGAATAAATAATAAAATGCATAACTATTTTGACCCAGACCATACATTTTTCTATGTCATCCTAACGAATCGCCAGCTGCCAAATCAATCTGGATAATGGGAAAAAACCCCACGGGCCAGACCAGCCCCATATCTTTCTACATTAGTTTTGATTATAGTGACCCTCCCTACTGAACCTTACGGTATATGAGAAGGGCACTATAACTCGTGCGCGCACTGAAACCTTATAAGTTCAGGTTCTGACCCCAGATCAGTCAGTATACAGGGTTGTCACAGACCTCTGTCACTTTACTTCATCCGGTTCTTCAACAGGCTAGTGCCTCGGGTGAGCCGCCCCAGGTGCACGTACAGTACCCTCCCTATTTTCCAGATAGGTACCGGAGCTATAGTAGAACGTGCCTATGCACGTTCGCTTCCCGTTGCGGATTGTGCAACTAGCGGTTATCACTGTTAAGCCGTCGACTCTGAGTCCACTACCAAATCTTCTCATTGGTGGCGAAAGACACGCTCACTTCCCGACACCGAAAAACGTCGTCTCTCCAGTTCCCTATAACCTAAGCGGCTGGAGGGACCGTATCTAGCTTATCCTCTACTAGCTCTCCGCTACAATGTCCGGATATAGCTTTCAACTTAAAGGGCAACGCACGTTGCCCGCGCGTCTCCTCGCTTCAGGCCCTTAACTACACCGCTACTAAGCTGCTCACGAGACGGGCGCCCCGGCCCGGGGTAGTGTGTACTACCGGGGCAGACAAACATGTCCGTCTCTGCAGTTATCTCTTATCTATATATTGTCTTATTATTATTAGCCATTATAATTTTGTCTTGAACAGAGATGGACAAGCGCCCAGGTTTTAACTCGGCGCTTTGTTGACGGCAGGTTCAAATCGCGTTAGAACCCATTAACGCCCGAGATCGAGAGTATAAACTATTTACAACTAAATATTTATTGTAAATTGTGTTTAGTTCAGATGTAATGTTGAGTGTGTGCGTTATTATTACAAAATGTTATTGCTTTCTGACGTAAACAATTCGATTTGCCTTTCTATTGAATCGATTCGCTAGAAATTAGCATTGAAATAAATCGATACAAAAAAATCGTTACATCATGTGCACTTGAATCGATCTTCATAAAAATCGAATCGTATAATGTGCATCCTTGATAGTGATAATCCATAGAATTGCAAAGTTTTATTGTGAGACGTTGCCTCTTTTTCGTTCAAAAATATTATTTATACCGAAATTTGTAATATGTGTAGAATTATACCCAATTCCGTATTTGCCCACAATTTTTGGCAGAAATGCCCATCTGCCCACCCACTGCCCATCACTGGTCTTGTGTAATCAATACAAATACTCTTTCTAGCACTCAAAAGAACGTTTATTGTAAAATAACAATCTCTTTCAATAACCATAAACACTTTACTGAAGAGACGAGAACGATGTCAAAGTGAATTTGTTGCAATTGAAAAGTAGTTAAATGTAATTAAAACTGAATGATGTATACAAAATAACAATAGACAATCAAAGTTATCAAAGGGTCAAAACGAGAATGTTCCGCTTGGATAACAATTAGGTAGTATGGACTTAAACGTCGTTCTACATAAGAGTTAAATAAACAATAGAAATAAACAGTACGTTTATCGATAACATATAACATTATGATTCAATAGTTACATTGCATTCTTATTGGAATTGTGCCGGGAACTACAAGATGGAGGAATATGTTTTGTTTGTGTTTTCGCTATTGACTTGTGAGTACCTACGTATTGTAATATTATAATATTGTGTTTATACTCCTGTACGTCAATGTGTCAATTATAATTTTATGAACCATATATCATCACAAGCGCGCTCTTTTTAGTTCAGATTCAAAATTCTATTGTCTGTGGTACGCGCTACTGAATTTATTTTTTACCCTCCTCTAAGTATTGAACTGAAAAACTTAATTAAAGTTCTGGAGGTCTACTTTCTTTCTTGAAAATCAAACTTCGTTAACGAACGAAATTTCGTCAAAAACCTTACAGTAATTCTTTTTTCGTCAGGCGCAAGAATTTCGTTGTCATTTACAATGTTCGTGAACGAATGGAATTAATGATATTATATAGGTCTTTTTTGATGTCAACTACGGTAAATTACTTTAAGTTAAAATTATTACAATTGTTTTGCCTTATTTTTAAATTTTACATTTAATATGTGGTTCATCAAGCACTCTTTGTGATATTCATGCAGAAAATGCAGAGAAACAAATAAAAAATATTTTTGACGTAATTAGCCGAAACTTTATGAAATACTTATTGTTGTCCAATTTATTTGAAGAGTACCATTTTATGCAAATTATGGGTGGCAAAAGTATGACAACCAAAAACCTCCGTATATTAGAAGCTATATACTATAGATTATATTCTTTGTAAACTTATCGTACATGATATTTACATTATAGATACCAAAATGAAGGCAATTGAAGCTCTTGGCAAAATTTTTCGTAATCATTATCTCCTAAAAAAGCAAAAATATAATGCAGTAAACTGATTTTACTTAATGAACTTGCACCATCTTTATTTCCTTGGGTAGAACTTTATTTTGTACATGTTTTCCGAAATTTGCACTGACGCTCTTGTTCTGCGCAGCAGCTAATTCAGAGACAACCTTCTTTCATCTTGGAGTTCATTTTTTTCCAAATCGAGAACAACAATCGTGAACTCATGTCCATGACGTCTTTCTTTTGAAAATAATAAGGGCACTATTCTTGTCACTACTTTCAAACAGAAATGTCCAATGAGATATGCAATAATAAATTAAAAAATGACGGTTTTTGTCTGTATTTTCCTACAAACTTAAGTCGGGAATTTCACTTATACGTAGTTGGTTGCACTGGCGGCGAGGATGGTTCTTAATACGCTCTGAACGTCTACACGCAAAGCCTTGATCAACAAAAGCATTGTTGCAGTCATTTCAATCAAATTTTTAATAAAATTCACTCAATTCAAGAAAATCAAAAGGTAGCACTTTTTGTTTCATCAATTTGACATTATAATTTCGAAGAATTATCTGTCAAAATAAAAATTTCGTTTAGACGTTTCATGAATTAGTGTAAGGTGACGAAAAACTTAAGCGTAAACAAGTTTCGTTCGAACGAAATTTCGCAATGAAATGGAATTGTGGCTAGAAACGTGCGAAACTTCGATCGAAATTTCGTTTTTCGTTGATAAAGAGTAGATCTCCTGTACCTTAGACGATACACATTTCTAGTCTAAGTCCTACAAAGAACTTAGAAGAGTCTCCTTTACGTATATAAGATCACTGCGTCTCCATAAGCGCGTCGCTGTATTTCCGAACAGAATAACGTCACTACATTCGTGAAATTATAAAAATTAAAATTATTTTATTAAATAATACCTCAAAATATTGCATAACAGGTAGAAAGTTCTTTTTTGCTAAATGATTTGGTACTATTTGACAAAAAAAGGTATTTAAAAACAATATCGGATATGACGCTACTCAAACGCTGCTGCTGCCTCTTGATTGGTTAAAATATAACCGTTACTTGGGCAACATCGAGTATATAACCAGAAATTGAGACGAAATAAGGGCCATCCATCCCTGGCAACTCATCAGGTAAATGGACCTTATATCACTTTTAAATATCAACTCTCATTTCCGCTGAAATCACGAATTAGAAAACTGAAATAGTACAGCGCCAACAACGGACCTGTGTGTACGTCTCTGTATATTCTAAAAATATTTCGTATTTATTGTAATAAAGATATCTCTAACAATGGGGGCTGTTCCATTCGGTGGTGTGAGAAAAGCAGCAAAACATCTAACTACAAAACAAACGGAATTTCATCGGTAATGAAATATTAAATACGTAATTTTTCAATTTTCGTTCATTATAGCAAAGCTCAAGTTAAACTGGCCGTTTTGAAGTGAAACAATTGACAACACCCGTCAATTGTTTCAAATTTGGACTGGCCAATCGGAGCGCAGTTGTCACAGTAATGATTTGGCAGAATTTTCAAACAAATTAAATGACATCTATTTCTGGTTATATACTCGATGTTTCATATTTTTTTAGTTTTGTATGGAGATGTCGTGGATTGTTAAGAAAACAATCTTTAAATATTGGTTGTTTCACTATTTTAAATTACTCTTATTACTCTTATAATTACGTAATTAGACCTTAAAATCTGGTATCTAACCTAGATAGAACCATTATTATGCAACTATTGCATAAAATACTATTAAGCTCGTTCATGTACCAAACAAATCGATTTTGGCTTTAATGTCTTTCTTTGACTGGCTTTAATTTAGATGTCTGGGACTGTGTTTACAAAAGCGGGCTTAATACTGTATCGCGCGTGATACAGGAACTGTAAAACATCTTTACGTTAGAAGGAAAAGGGAAAGACCGCCCGATTGCGCTGTCAGTCGCACGCGCAATCGCGCACTCCAACACGCGCCAGTTTCACGCGATCTATCCTGCGCTACTAGCCCTTACACGGACGCTCTTTCTGTTGTAACAAAATCGAATACGTCATGCCAACAAAGGTGATTACAGTCTACAAATGCTGGTAGTACTAGAGTAGGTATAGTACTTACCTTGTAAAATTTGAATGAGACCAATTCGGATCCCGAGCTAGAGTTTACCTGTGGAAATATGGTTATATGTTTATTTATTATTTTCCAGTAAATGTGATAGCTCCACCCCCTTCCAATAAAATGCAGTACCGCACCGATTACGAGTATGATCAAAAAACCAACGCCTTTTTCAAATTCCACATCGACGAGGCTTCCCTTCTTCGGGCGAAAACAATTTGTCAATTGGAAGGAGCTGAACTCCTAGTCCCGAAATCTAAGCAAGATTTTTCTATGGCTCATGGTTTGTTTAAGAGATATCCTGACTTGGGAGACCGCGTGTTGATTGGTAACGATGGTCAAAAGCATGAGTCTGCTGAAGAGGACCCTTTGATGAGATGTAAGTTCTTTTGTTGATAATAAATGTGCATATAATACCCAGTTAACCTTTGGTCAAATGTTTTCATAATTTCTTGTTTTTTTTGCGTTTCTGACGTCTTATCCAGAACTGCGTGTCAAAGCTGGGCCAAAAGAGATATCTTTTAAGCATGAAGCCAGATTATTGATATGGCTGACTAATGTCTTTAAACAAATCATCATCATCGTCACCAAGACCCCCTATAGACGTCCCACTACAGGACATGGGTCTTCTGTCAATGGAGGGTTTAGGCCATAGTCCACCACCCAATGCGGGTTGAACACGTCACACATTTTCTCAGGGTTGTGAACCTTCTTCCATATGCAGGTTTTTTTTTATATAACATAAAGTGACGGGACGAACAAATCATGCTACTGATGGTAAGCTGCACGCCTGTCCATAACAGTTGCAGTGCCACTCAGAACTTTAAATCGTAAAGATCTGATGGGCACTGCCACTGTGCCCGTCACCCCGAGACATAAGCTGGCAAGTCCCATGTGCCTGTAATTTCACCAGCACCCTTACCCTTCAAAACCGGAACGCAGTAATGCTGACATTACTGTTTGGCGGCAAAAGTAGGTAAAGTGGCAATACTTCCCTGAACGAATTCTTTCACAAGGAGCTCTACCGCTACTAGTACTAACTAAGAGATGCGAACCCGGATTCGAACCAACGGCCTCTGCTTGAAAATTCTGCGATGTCGTTTTTGTAATAGAGGTATTCACAATTGAAGATCTCAAGAAAACTTTCGTTGATTGCTACGGATAATACTTACCTACCTATTTAAGGTACGGTGGGCCACATTTGTTTATACAACACAATTGTAGTGTAAAAGGTGACCATTTGTGTCAATTTACCTGTGGCTGAATGTATGTACGACGCCATACGTTTAAAGTTACCTTTAAAGCTTTAGAGAGTCCTTATTTCCCTTTAACCCCGGAAATGACTTCACTTTTTTCCAGTAGAACCATCTCCACCAGACTTACGGCTAGAACGTTTTGGACCTGTGGTATATGATGTATTGACACGTCAAGGCAAGGTTGAACGAACTTACTATTACCGACAGCTGCCGTATATCTGTAAGGTAGAAGCCAGGGATGCTGTTTACGACGGCCAGTGCGATGTTTATGCGAGTGGTCAGTGACTTCATGTTGGCGTCATAGATATGATACAAAACACACCGATATAATTATGGAATTGCATTTTTAATTAATGGGCTAGCAGCTTAATTGATCGCAGTGTTTTATGTCTGAACATGTCAGTTCTTGATTCTGACTTGATCTTTAGCAAGTTAGATCCAGTCAATTTAATGCCTGTGTTGAAATTACCAAAACGAGTCTTGTGAATGACTTGAAAGAAATGAGATACATACGCTTATATTAAGTTGAAATCGCGTTATTTTGGATGTACTTTTAAGTTTTGAAGAAACAAATATAAATGCTTCTTTTCAGATTACAAGTACAGTGAATCTGCGGGGAGCTGCTACAAAGTCCCACCATTTGCCTTGACTTGGAACGAGGCAGAAGCCGAATGTAGGGGTCAAGGTGCTCACCTGATAATTCTCAATTCTGCAACGGAATATGAAGCTGTTGCAAAGTTCTTGAAGACCGCTCCGAGAATTCAGACGGCTGTAGTCGATTATTACTATCTTGCTGGATTTAGAGCAGATCGGCTGACCAGAAATTTCAGAACCATATTCAGTGAGTAACATTAACTTCCGGTTGTTTGGGAGATAAATACTACTATTTATCTCCCAAACATCACGCAATGTACCTACTTACACTAATTATTAACAATGATTAGCGGAAACATCATAAACTTAACATAGCAACTCGATGTATGTTGACCGTCATTGAATAGATAAATGAATTCGGAATCATGAAAAATTTGCAATCCAGCACATTAATTTTATTACCAGGCGTGTACACTTTGGTATTAGCAGCTACATAATAGTGTCTAGAAATTAAGACCAAAGTCAAAGTCAAAGTCAAATAGTTTATTTGCGTGTTACAGTAAGACATATAAAATACAATTTAAGTTGGTTGGTTATTGTACAAGTATCATGTAACGCCCTGTAAGGGCATAGCAAATTTACAGAGGTATAAGTTTTTATAATAAATCACAAAATAAGATACATAATAAATTAAAATACATGCTTTCAATTAATTAACTAATAACAATAATGTCCGAAAATTTTAACTTCCACATATTTACAAGGTATTATTTTTATTGGTAGATAAATGCCAAAAAGTTTCCATAATTGAAAAAAAAAAAAAGGTTATGTCTATGTCCAGTCTATGGGATTTTTATTATAATATCGAGAGACGTGTGCCTGATGGTAAGCTACACGCCTGTCCATAATAGTTGCAGCGCCATTCAAAGATTTAAATCGCAAAGTTCTGAGAGGCAATGCCACTGCGCCTGTCGCCCTGAGACGTAAGTTGACTAGTCCCATGCGCCTGTAATGTCGCCAGCACCCTAACCCTTCAAAACCGGAACACAGTAATGCTGACGTTACTGCTAGGCGACAGAAATAGGTAAAGTGGCAGTAGTACCCTGGACGTACTCTTTCACAAGGAGCTCTACTGCTACTAAATATAATATTCAATATTTTGCGGGCGCATTTGTGCAGAATTGTGAAAAAAGAAAGATAGAAAGACTGCTGTGCTTCGGTAGGGAGTCGATATTCCGCCACTTAAGTATCTTTCTGTAATGGTATTGTGAATTTATTCACAGACCAATCTCTACCAGAAGCTGGGTTTGCGACTTGGCAAGAAGGCGAGCCAAACAACTATGACGACAGTGAATACTGTGGTGCACTGTTTAGAAACAATGGCAGATATAACGATGTCGATTGTGCGGCAAATTTCGCTTTCATTTGCGAAAAGGAAGCTCAGTTGAAGTCATGAGAGATATGGCAAATACTATAAATTTATTCAATGTAAGGTATTATTGTCTATTTTAGACTCTCGCCACTTCCGTGGCTTAAAAATTTAATTTAGAATGTGTTCCCTGACAATAGCACTGTCGACCATGCATGCCTTATCGAGCAGGACCGCTTTCTAATATTTTTTACAGGTCGTCTATTACTTTCTGACCAAAATTTAGATTTACTCGAATATAATTGCCTATTTTTCCAAGCCTTCGTTTCCTTCTCACAAATATGTCCGATCCCCAGAATAACTACCAGCATTTTGAGCACGTTGTCACGGGAATCCATATTTCTCTATTTATCTAGTTCTAATTGTGATTAAGTTATTATTGTATCATATCCTTTTATTTTATTTCTTGAATAAATATTTTTACGTCTGAAACTTCGCAATCCGTATCCGTAACTAATGAAATGTGAGTGAACAATTTGTCACTTGTCAATGTAAACCAAATATAAAAAGTGTTTCACGCAAAGCAGTAAGTAGCAACTACACCATACAAGCAAACCGCAGCAGTGTCAATGAATCCTTATCGAGACCTTTGATATTTGATACGAATGCAGTAAAATACCTTATTCATTCTTATTCATTCTTGTAGTATGTTTACTTCATTCGGAATCACAGATTGTTTTCATTTGATCTCCATATCAACTAATGGAAACGATGAGGTCAACGATGGAGCATGCACACCTAAATAATGCTGCTACGCTGCAATCCGGCTGACTGAGCCGGTAAAGTTCTGTCTCATATTTACCTTACAAAAATTATTAATATAAATACCTATCTTATTTTTAAATTACCAAAGAACATTCCAGCCATGGTTCAGCAAGATGGAGTTTGGCAAAAAAGCTACCTCCGCTATTTGTCGGCTACGACTTGGTCACATGACAACTCCAGCGCACTTGTTCAAAGTCAAAATTGTTCCTGACCCTGCATGCTCATGCGGGGCCTTTTGGGCCACTATACTTTCATATCCGACCTCCTGGCATACTGTGTCCCACTCCCCACCTCCATGACAAGTTTATTATATTTATGCAACAAAGATGTTTATAACGTACTGGCCTTATTTATCGAAATATCAAGCGTTAATGTGTATGCCGATTTATAATAGCTACCCACCTATCCAACCTACCATGTCCTTTTTCATCCAAATTCCGTTACCCTTCCATAATCTGTGATTCTGCTTTTCCAGCCCTTTCATAGGCTAAATGTGAAGGCAAACCCAATAATAGAAAAAAAAAATTGCAATTTACACGTATGTAACGTTTCGCAAAACATTTCATTTTAACAATAAGAATTTTACTAAATTATTTAATTTAGTTATTAATTAAAAGGAAATTAGAAATAAAGGGGTGTATGAAAGGAACCTACCCTCACTTCCGGCTACAATCGGCGAGTAAATCCCTTCACCACAATGGCAAGCATGACCCACCGTTCAGCACTAGAGCTGGCTCTATATCGATACGATAGACGACGACCTAAATAATGCTTATTCACTCTCGCATTGAAAAAGCCCAAGGTACCACAGAACAAGTCTGCATGAATGGGAATTCCACTCCATAGCCGTTCGCCTTATAAATGAGGAAGCGAAACGCTTCGTGCCAATCCTTGGAATACCCACAACATAGGGTTAAACCCCAGCCTACATCTGGTCCGCCGATGATGGAAAGGGGAAGGCGGAATTAAACTTTACGGCGGTGTACAAGGCTCTGCAGATCCACCAATGAGTCTATCTCTACTAATGCCGAGTCACCTAAAAGCTTCTAAGCGCGCTTTTCAACTGAATCCAAGGTGGCCAGTTTGTATTTAGCAGAATCACCCCAGATGTGGCAGCAATACTCCATACACCACCGGACTTGCTTCCTACAGCTCAGTGACTCACGAATACGGTGCTCACAACTTATCAAAGGCGAAGGGAATTTTCCTTTCCACCAATTGTGTAACAGACAGAATCTCGCAACATTTTTATTAAAGACACAAACCAGTTTTTGTTAATTACATACATCGACCCCTCATACGTAAAGTAACGTATGTCGAAATTGTCAAGTTTACAGGGGAGCGTTTTAAAGTTCTGAATTCACTGATATAAGCATAACACGTGATTTTAGCATTTCTCAGTTTTATTCGGCAAAGCCCGTTACTCACATAGATTATTATAAAATCCTAGATATCGGTTAGATGATCTATTAGATGACCACTCTATGTGGTGGTTAGCAACAACCCAGTGCATGGCAGTTGTAGTGCCATTGCAAAGATCTGTGGGGTCATCGATTTATATAAGATGTAAAACCAGTAGTATGAATTACCAGTAGTAGTAGACCTTCTTGTGAAAGAGTTCGTCCAGGGAAGTATTGCCACAACAATGTGGACACTACTGGCCTGGGTTTCGGTATTGAAGGGTAAGGGTGCTAGTGTAACGACACAGGCGCATGGATCTTACCAAATTTATATTTCAGGGTAATAGGCAAAGTGGTCGTGCTTCTCAGATCTTTTTGACTCAAAGGTCTGAGTGGCACTGTAACTGATATGGATAGGCGGGTCGCTTACCGACAGGCGCATGACTTTCTGTTCGCCCCTTCACTTGATATCATATAAAAGCTGTTACTAAGTATTAACACTAACCACTGGGTCGAGTTGCATAGCCCCCAGGTACTGTCGACAGAACGTCACTACAAGCCACGGTTGGTACGAGACGCCATCGAGATCACGAAGTACAAAATATTTAACCGTGATGATGGTTTTAAACTGTCCAGTGCATGGCATCCAGTCGTTAGTGCGTGCAGTAAGAAAAACAAAAACACCTCGAGTTCCGTTTCGCGTGTGGATACAGTGAGTGTGGTTTGTGTGAAAAAAAGTGAGTGACAATGGTAACGCCTCAACAAATCGCGATGAAGGTAGTAGTCGACAGCGCAAGAGGGTAGACAGATATGTTTGCTCTTAAAGCTGTCATCTGCCGCCGTCCAGTCAACCCGTGACCATGGAGCGCGCAACCGTTCCGAAATACCGGGAAAATAAAAAGAAGTCATACCGTGGTAAGAAACCTGAAATTAGTGATAATCATTTAGTGAATAACCACGTAAGCCTTAAAATCTATAATAAATATAATATTTAAGTATTAACAGTCTAACATGCCCCTAAAAATGCGAGATAATGAGGCATTTTTGAAAATATTAAAGGTTCTGTTAAAATATGCGACTTATTGCGACTTCGCGTTAATACCATATTATAAATTCAAATTAAACAACCACTTTAATATTATTGCAAAAATCATACTTTGTGTACCGACAAACATTATATTTAGATATAGGTACAAAAGGCTTGATAATTTAAGTACTGGGACTAGAGCAACATTAAAGGGATGAAATTGAGACCCCCCGGCATGTCGGCCAAAATTATGGTAGCGTTCCCCCTTTCGAGCTATTGTAATAAAATATTTTGGAGAAGGTACCTTGGAGGTATTACAAGGTATTTTGGAGACCTCATTTTTTTACCATTAGACAGAAGTAAATTTCGAATTCTATGTAACACGCCATTTAATTCAACAAAATCGTAGTTTTAGTAAAATTTACTATATTAGAATTCGTATATCGTTATTTTTATGAAGACACAGTTCCTTCAATAGAAAAAAAATATCCAATATGTATGTCGTTCTTAACAATTATAACTTTATTATAAAACAAAACGAGCTTAAAAGTTAGCTCCGCTTTCGTTGTATTCTTTACCGTGATCTAACATACACTCTTCTTTTTCTAGTGGGTTAAAAATAGGTTTTGTCTATACATCGCAGTCGTATTACACTATTAGATTACATTATTAGCCGCAAGACGGATCGTTGTTTTCTATTACGGCAACCTCGAGTTCGGCCGAATTGCAATTCGCCTAAAAAGTACGCCGCATTGTATAATAGCACGTGGTCGTTCACAAAGCGGCAAAGAAATCTATAATTCTTGGCGGCTATCCGCCACTGGCGCTGCATTATCATAACAACAAAAATGATCATTACATAATCACAATCCGGATAAACACGTTGTAGCCATATTAGAAAACAGCGTCGTTTTACAAACCGGCTAGCCGTAATGTAATACGGCCCTTTGTACAATACGGCTACGACATATACTATACGGGAATATCACATTGAAACATGTCAATGAATAGACCTCGTTTTCCTAAAAGTCCTTTGCCGTACGAATTAGGAAGGAGGAAAAAAATCGCTTCGTGTGAATGGGTGGTAAATCAATGACAAAGGGATCGAGTGTTCCGGGCTTTCTAGTCCAATGAGAAACTGTGAGGGTGGAACAAAGAGCGGTTACACACGGCACTTTTAGCAACGCGTTTGCAGCGATTCAGTCGGTAATTGTCTACCTTCACACATACGCGACTTAAACAGCGATGCAAACAAGATCCAAGTTCGTTAATGTATTTCAAAATAAAAACAACATGCATCCGCCAAAGCGACAATCAATTCGATTCGCTTTTTATTATTGTTTTTATTTTGAAATACATAATACGTTGTCAATTCGTTAGTTTCCTTATTGTTAGTTTCCATGACTAGGTAGGTACCTAGAATAACTGATTACTAAATATGTCCCTACAAAATGTATGGTAAAATTTTTTTTGCGATTTCTGACATTTCGAGTACTCTTACCTGTTGTAGAGACTATTGATCGTTACCAGAGACAGGATCGACTGGCATAAAAAGTTTTGTAAAAATTGCCTTTTATCTTGCAGATTGCACCATTTTTTCAAATTCTGTGAATGCCAATCAAAATATTTTCAAAATTCATGGAGTCTTCTAGAACCGTTTTCCTGTAACTACGATTAAAGTGGCTGGCCTTGCTGTCCCGTCTCACATTTACATCCTGTATATATATATATTTCATTTATTTTACTTTTAAATGTACGGGCAACGGCACATCAGACTAAACATTTTTGATCGAAAATCGCCTCCAGTGCAACGGAACAAGATACGTCAATGTGTAGCTTGATGTGCTGGCGTGTGTACAATTAACAAAATAAACAATACGCAGAAACCTATACAGGTTTTTCGCACAATAATGATTCCACACAAGCGACTGCATTGATGCAAATCGCGCGTTGCATAAACGCGGGTTTATACCGGTGCAACAAATTCGCGGTGTGTAACCACTCGAACTCGCAAAGGGTCTAAGGGAAAGTTCTTCTCGCATGTTTTATTTTCGTATATGTTGCAATGGTTATAACGAAATAAAAATGACAGAAATAATTATGCAGTAGTTTTATTGTTACAAGTATCGAGTCATTGACCCGCGTATGGTACAACCAACTACACAAGTTTACAAACTGTCCGACCTCTTACTAAGCTGGGGATATCATAATGCTGAATATAGCTGCCAAGTTGCGCAGTTTAAAACCTACTACATAATATTGTAATGTAATTATTGTAATGTCGCAACGATACGCGACAGTATGACTTCGATACTATGGCCTGAATCGTGTCGCTTACAGCACCACACTCGGCTGTCG